GAGAAAACATCAGAATGATTTCTCGAGGAATAAATATCGTCTGTGTCCTCGGCGCGTCGCTTCTGCGGATTTATGTCTGAACGGAACTCGCATTTCGAAATATTTCGAAAGATTCCGAAGATAGACGAAGAAGAAAAATAGAATTGTAGGCCCCCGATATCTGTAACTACCCGTTAGCCTGTAGTTTACTGATTCCGGACATTCGTCACGGATCGCAAACGTAAAATTGCAAAACACGTCGGGCTGTATACTCAATGGTGCGGAAAAATCTTATTACAGGATTTTGCGGCGAGTCTGTAGCACAGCAAGGAATGTCTCTTTGGAATATGTAGAACACGAGAAATAAATCTCGTATCAATGAAAGTTTTAGCCTCGTAATTTTTGCGATATTAAAGGATAATTATTAAATTACAAAAATTATTAGAAAGTTATTGAATATAAAACTTATTAAAAGATAATTTTTGTATTATAAAATTCAAAATTATAAGATTAAATAATATAATAATAATAATATAATTAAATAATGAAACACTAAAATATTCAGCATTGATCATTACATCTAATTGTAAGAGATAAAATATTTTCATTATTGTTCAAATTTCGCATACATTAAATTGCTAACTGTTTTTTATCCAAGCAAATCTTTCTCATTCGATATAAAGATATCCTAATTGTATTCTATAATAATTTATTATATAAATGTATAATTTAAACATAACATCATAATTGTATTCGAAGCGCATCAACTTTGATAGAAAATATGTTCAAAAATTGAAATGAATTATTAAGTAAAATTATTTCACGTTTTATTATGAATTCGTAATCATCAGTTAAATCAGTTTTGAAATTCAAATTAATACATGTACCTACTTTATTGTATGTCTCAAAATTTCACTCTGCATCGAATAGATATGTTCAGCGGCAATAATTTCTAAACGTGACTTTCGCGGAGCTGCACTTTTTTCCGCAATCTCGACCGTAATTAGCGCACACAGCCAACAATTAAAGCTTTAATTAAAATATCAAAATGCATCTACCAAGAATTCGTTATTTGCGTTTTTTCTTCTAGATATATTTAAGATTATGATGTTCTAATATTAAAACTTCAAATACTATATTGTCATTATTAATTATTACTGTCGAAACTATCTAATTTCATAACTGCATATTTAACAAGTATTACAATACCGATTTTCCGTACGCAGTTAAGAAAATCTAAAATTATAAATAGAAGTCTTTCTTGAATATTTATTATATCAAACGTAACATAAAAATATACACGTGTAATTAAATCGTTAGATTCATTAGTTCTATATACGTCGAAAATAAATTACAGCAAGAGGCTGTGGCGCAGGTTTCTCGATCATCGCGGATTTATCAACTAGCTTTAATAGCTGATTCGAGCAGTCTGGTGTAAAAAATCTTACGTAACGCAGATAGGGAAAATATGATGAACAAGCTATTAAGCATGCCCCGCCGACCGGCTCTAGAGTCGACTCTACACACTGTTCGATATTATGTAATGCGTGTCACGAACAATATCACGCTGATAATGGCTGTTTACAGTGCATAAATTCAAGTACGTCGAAATTATGATAATTACGCGATTACAATTGTCAGCGGATTATTGCCGCACAGCGTTGCGTATTCCAGCTTGATCGATTTAGATTCTAGGGGGTCAATTCAGTCAATTATGTATCTTAAAATGAGGTGAAAATTACAAAAGTGAACAAATTTTTTTTTAATGTTTTTTTATGCACACGTTTATTATTCTAAACACTGAGAATAACCTAATAATAGAGGTCGAAACATTTGCATTTTAAATTATATAGGTATATATTTTAATACTTAGATAATAAAAAAATTTTTCGCAAGAAGAACCAACGTTGATTTTTATGCTCCTTTTATTCGATAATTCGATTTATTCATAAAAATTTTTATAATTTGAATTTGAATAAATTTACTAGGATTAAATCAAACGTTCAGTAGATTTGCAATTATTGTAAAATTCTTTCTGAACATGATTGTGATTTATATATTTAGATCCAGTGAAGAACTAAGAGCAAGGTCAATCATGTTAAGAATCTTACAACAGTTGCAAAGCTGCTTTTTCTGCTAAATACAGTCGATGAAATCATGATAAGATCAAGTGAACCAATTTAAAAAATGCGCAGTCGTTTAAAGTAACGACGACACATTTATGACCAATCAGAAATTGGCCTCAATTTTAAAAACCAATATAGTCACTAATCAGAAATTTATTCCAAATTACATTCAGCTGTCATTATGTGCAATGTTACAGCTGGTTTTCTTATATCATGAATGAAATTATAAATATTTTACTAAATTTACTCACTTTTGTAATTTTTACTTCCTTTCAAAATTCACAATCGATTCCCAAATAAAAACTGCCAGACAATCGACCGTCATATCTTCGCGGTCAGTTTTCTACGGAAATGTTCGAATCAGCAGGCACGACAAAGCTCTTCGTCTTTCGGTTTTTAATCGTGCTCGCGCAGGTGTACCTATTCATCGAACTAGAAATAACACGCGCTATAATTATATAGAGATAAGACGTATGTATATTTCTTGTCGCGCTTTTAATATGCGACCTTCAAGTTTTTCGTTCGTTAGATATGCAAATCATGCTCGACGTCGCGATTCCCAACAGTTCAAAGGAAAAAAATAGTATATTAAGAGTCGATCGAGATAAGAGCTGTGTTGTTTTTTTCGAAAGAGAAGACAATTGACTCGTCGGAGACTAAAAGCACAGCAACGACAAAACATCCGCGAATAAATGAATTGTAAGATGCAGAAAGCTGCATGTAAACGATGTTCCAAAATTCACTGTCAATGCTGAAAATACTTATAGTTTACGTTATGTGCATAACAGATTTTTCACACACTGAAAAAAATTTCTAAATGTAGTATTTTCTTGAATAGGATTAAGTAAACATTTCCTTATTGCAAATAAATGTTTACTTGATATTATTCAATAAAATATTACTTAGAGTTAGGTTATTTTTTTCAGTGCAGTTATTTATCAGTTATCTTTTATAAAACAACTTTCCCAACCGTAAATTTTTTAGATACTGAAAATTAATTTTGGAATACAATCATAATAAACATTATTAAGTTTTGATCTATACAATTATTTCTCGTAAATAAGCGAAGATCAAATACTTATGCGTATTTCTTCAATTTCATCTAATTGATCTAACATGAATGAAAGAATATATTGAAGAAGTTTATAAATAAAAATATAGCTTATCGATTATTATACAGATTCGTACTCGATGAATTATAAATAAACTATCACAATGCATTATGTCGAATAGAATTTATCATCGAGTTAAGTTTAATAATAATAATAATTTGACACGGATCACAAAGATTCTGTCTACAAGGTAACGAATTTGAGCAAATTAAATAAGTAAATAAATTAATAAATATTTACAAATTAATAAACATTAATAAATAATCATCATTTATTTTATACGCAAATCGCCGAGAGAACGAACAGTAAAAAATCTCAAATAGTAAAAAATATCAATTCCAACTAAATCCCAATTTTACACATTACTTTCCAAAAAAGCTGCTCTTAATTTCGGACGATACGGAAGGATAGTGAAGCGTGTTGTATGATTTGTCCTCTAGCAACAACAATTCTATAGCTACAAAATTATCACATTGTAACAATGTGTGGAAGGACACGAGTGTGTCCCTCCAAAGTTTATCGAATCTAGAGGAACAAAAGACAACGTCCAGGGAGGAACATTTCTCGCGAGGGAGGATACATCCGCGCTGAATCTCGGCATTTCTCCGTGCACTCACCTTCATGGACATGTTGAACCTCTGCCGTGAGTATCTCGATCAATTATTCGTTCAGTCCTGCCGAAGCGCATCGCACATCCCGTCGCCGCCGAGCGAGCGTTCGTGCAACATACAATCACTGTCGATCCGTCCAGCGCGAAGCGCGCTTCGCTACTGAACGCGAGCCACTAAACGCGGCTCGTTTTGAAGCACCGCTCTCGCCAGAATGTTTCGCCTGTACGCGCGCGATAGCCAGTGAGCGTCATCATCGTCGAGTCGTCGGTCGACGTGTATAAACATATAGCACATAGTCGCGAACAATTGTGAATAGCCATAGACAGGCTGCGAGAGTATCGGATGAATGAAGGAGTGGGGGAGAGGTGGTACGCTGCGAGCCTGCGACAGAACAGGAAGTGCACGAATACAATAATCTCCAGGATCGTCTCACCTCGCGCATGCGCGGTATCGAAATGTTTTAGGCGAAATGGTGAATAATAGATTATTTGTTTGAATTTCCTTTGAAATTTCGAAAAAGTTTGTACTTAAAATGAGATTAAATAGATATTTGAAAAAAGAAAGCGAAGATTCTGGGTGTGAAAAGTATCAGCAATATATAGTAGATATATAGATCTATAATATATATATATATACTGCATATAAGTTTGATGAATTTCAAATTTGATTACAGATTCAAATAACAGAACGCGAGATAATTGATTTAATAACTTTCAAAATAATTGTAAGATGGGTTATATGTATATTTAATATCAAAATCGATATGTTCCTTCCTCTCTTGTAATTACGATATGTGTATAGATAAATTAATTTTTTAGTAAAAATTTCATGACAAAATTAATAAAATTATATAGTGATAAATATTTATTCGAAAAATGTGTTATCATTGCGCGTCTGTGCGCTTCTTTATAAATGCAGAAAGTGCAACATAGTACAGTTAACAAGGAACAGATTGTTCAGACTTCAGATTGTTTCTATTCGACGCACACAGCCGCAGAGTTTGAGTGCTATTTCATTTATGCGTTTTGGTCGTACGACAAATGTGTGCAAGAGAAAGAGAAGTCCTCGAATCTCTCTATTCTATAACCAATCAACAGGCTTGAAAAATTTGTACGAATGAAACATGTTCCCTTCCATGTTCCATCGTTCCATATCCAATAATTCCACATTCCATTCCAGTCCTCCTTCTTTCATTCTTTCATTCCGCAGCCTTTCGAGCAATCGTGCAAATTGTAAGTATGATAAATATTTATTAAAGAAGAATTAATGCTGTCGCATTCTGCTTCTCCAAATAGCAACTAATCTACTGTTTTATAGTGTTATTGCAGGTGTAAAGAAAAATGGAAAACGATTTGGGCAGCCTGGTCGACTTGTACATCCCTCGAAAATGGTAAGACTCAAATACACGTGGGTTATAGATAATTCTCATAAACTTTGCACCGAATGAGAACTTTGTGTCTAGATGATGAATCAAATTCGCTACGCAGATTTTTTTATTCAGTAAGATTAATCGTAGCGTGGGCGATAAATAAGCAGCGATTTGCAAGTGAGGTTAGGTGACTCCAAATCTGTGGGTCTATTCTTTGTGGCTGAATTGTATACACTTGTTATACTTAAAGGCCCAATTTTTTATTTTTTGATTAACTTAAAGGATAGGTTTGTTAAATTTCTTAGTTTTTCATACATGTTTCTTTTCAAGAATAGAGATTCAGATCTTATAAATCTATTTTAGCCACATGAAGCAATTTCTTTCATCTGTTTTATTCTCATAATCTCACATTTGAAGCAAAATATGTATATATCTATAGACAGAATTTTAGGAAGATGCACAAGATGTATTTATTTTTTTTTTTTGGAAAGAATAGATTTAAATCTGATTTTTTCTATTGTAGTTCGGCGAGTAATCGCATCATCCATGCCAAAGATCATGCATCTATACAGTTGACTTTGGCCGATGTTGATCCAGAAACAGGTCGCATGACCGATACTCACAAAATGTATGCAATCTGTGGAGCAATTCGTCGAATGGTAGGTTTTTATGTTCATAGGGAGAATCCGATGATTGTATCGTAAGATTGACGAAGAACGATGGATTATTATCTAAGAACTTTTAATCTAAGTTATATGACAAGTCTATTTCCAATAAATTAAAAAAATATAAAACGGATTTGATTATTTTTTTAACTTACCATAATTCTATTTACATAGTATTACATTAATTTATTACATAGACAGTAATTTGAAAGATTTATTCCTGTCAGTAATCACATATCAAAAATAGAAAAATTTAATTAAAGGGATAAAATTAATATAAATTTTCCTTCGATTGGATTATTATTATTTAATCAATGTTTAATTAGTTATTTTAATTTATTTTTATATCTTTTTTAAAGATAAATATATAATAAAAAAAACTTTACTGCGTATATTTTAATAGACATGTGTGAAAATTAATTAAAAATAGCTTTTTTCATCTTTAAATTCGAGAAGATTGATTCTCCATTGTGTTAATTCGTGTAATTTTAATATTAATCATCGCGCGACAAAGGAAAAAATAAATAAACATTTATCACAGAAAAAACATCTACCTTATTTTAATTATATAAATTGAATTAATGAATAAATTGAAATTAATTAAATAAATTGATTAATAAATAACGATATTTAAAAAATGCGTTGCCTTTATTAAGAAATATATGCGCACATGGATTTGTGTACATAGCATACAACTTGTACTATCGATTATTTATTACATGTCATAATATCGAAAATGTTAAATGTATTATATTTAATATCTTAATAGTAATTGTAAAGAGAAATAAAAAATATTTAATCAATATTAATCTAAAAATCTTTGCTTTCGGAATAAAATTTATATTATTAATTTCAATAACATAAATTAATATTTATTATTATTATATTGTTATTATATATTCTGGGATTTTGATGCGCTTTTTATAAGCTATTCTTAAGCGAAAAAAAATACGTGTCCGGCCGTGTTTCCATAGCCATAGTTTCGAAGAAATCGATTTTTTAAATAATTATTTAAGTTTGTATTACAATCTTATTTATATGTTCATGTGAACAACGACGACGATAACGATGATAATAATATATATAATTATTCCATAAATTTAATTATTATCTATAATACTAATATGTATTAGGTGTTGGAATTAATTCGTAGCGTTTTACAAGTGATGGGAAGTACTTTCATTAATGTATTTTTTAATGCTCATGTGAAATAAATAACATTCTTTCATTAAAAACGCTACGAATTAATTCCAACACCTAATAATTTCACGAAATTTCATTACAATAAAAAAAAAATAATTAAAATTAATAACATTAAATAAAATTTATTAAAAAATATTGATATTATCATTTATACAGTACGTTTTTCAAATCATTACAATAATTATTTAAAAAATTGATTTCTTCGAAATTATGGCTGAAACGATCGAATATGTATTGTTTTTTTTTTCAAAAACAGTTTTTTTAAAAAGCGCATCAAAAATTCCAACCCTATCATCTGGTGTTCCCTTTATCAGACAATTAATGTTAACAGCACATTAATTTTGAAAAAATATTAATTACTACATAATATTATAACATTTTTTTAGACACTTTATCATGTATCTATGTTTTTAAATCACTATCGATATATGTCTACGTCAATCTCATATACATTTTTTACAATACATTTTTACAATCTCATATACATTTTTTACAATACATTTTTTTTTAACATACAAATTTGTAAAAATGATATGATTTCCTTCCATTTACCTAAATGTTAATGCGTTAAAATATTTTCGTACAAATTAATTTAGAATTATACTAATGATTTTACCGAAAATTAGTTAATTGATCGGTAGCGTCTTAATTTAATACATTTTTAGTACATTATTTCACAAAATTATGTCTACAAAAATATAATGATATATTAATGTTATAAAACAAACTAATAGCATAGATCTCTAGAAGATGTGATCCTGAGGACGTTCATATATCTTTTGAACATCCTAAAAACATCCTGATAAAATATTATAAGATGCATGTTTTATAACTTATAATATAGATTACATTTATAAGAAAGATAATACTTAATTTGTACGATTATGATAATTCCTTGATAGAGAATGTTAAAGTTGTTTCTCTTTCTGACAAATCCCCTTGCAGTCAAATATGGAGATATTACTTGTTCGTATATTTCGATACTCATGCTGCAATCCATAATGCTGTTTAAATATTCAGTTTATTGATATTCAGATAAATCTGTAAAAAATGATAAATATATGAACATATATATCTTGGTAAAATTAATTTTGAAAAATATTTTAATAACACTAATTACATATATATAGTAATACATTAGCGGCGGTCCTCATTTTTGTAAGATTAAGTAAGATTAAAAAAATGAAATCTCCGATTTCTATTACATTTAATATTCTGTTAATTATTGTGAAATTCGCAAAATGATAAATCAAGAATCTTCGATTTAATTTAACTTACATTATTTGGCTAGAAGTGTTATCCCTATTATTAGACACTTCGTATAATTCATAGAATTTAACTTTACGTGATATAAATTTGTATGATATAAACAAAAAGAATAGTTACCAATATTATCGCTTTCTTTTTTCCTTTGTTTGGCTGGCGGTGAATCATTTGAAGAAACTGATGTAGACGGACTCTGCGCTGAAGTACTTTGTCGTTCTTCACTTTGTCTTGATGGAGCAAAATTGACCGTATACTTACAATCAGCTTCAGTGTCTATCGAAATACTCGATCCACTTGATTCTGTCGAAGTATTTGATCTAGGACTGTTTTTATACATCGTTCAAAAATACAAATTATTATATGTATCATTTAAAAAATAAAAAATGTGATAAAATATTAAATATTTTAAATTACAAGCATGAACGTTAATCACGCAACGAGAATAGGTTAAAATTGATTGAAATGAATTCAGATTTTCAGAAATGAGCATTTATGAAATGAATCATTTTCAATCTTGATACATTTTTATTCATTTATAGAAATTGCATGAAGTATATTCCTATGCCTTTTAATTTAAAAATATCAGCTTTTTTTTAAGTGTATCGTGATACTGTTCAAATCTAAATAGAAAATGCAGTTTTTCACTCCGATTGAATCGAGTTGAATCCAATTGAATTCGGATAGATAAAATTTCAATTCATTTTTAATCCATTCACGTTTACTGGGTTATAAGTAAATGGATAAATAATAGTAATAGCATGAAAAACAATAAATGTTACGTTTTTTATAACATAATATAAAATATACTTATATTGGAAACTTGGAAAATTATTATATATATAATTCTCAAATCTGTATATTATCTAATATAAGAAAAGTAAATAATATTACTCGTCGCGTTCTTCCTGACTTTCAACTAATTGTCTGTCTGAACTCGTAATGATTTTACGTTTTTGCTTTGCATTATCTTCTAGCTCCTTCCAATTCACTTCAAATAATTTAGAAACTTGTAGTTGTGTTCTCTTTAACTTTTTTGGATTAATAATTTTATCACTAAAAAATATTCTGATTATTTAACAAATTTTGTTAAACAAGTTTTATTTAATAGCGAGACAATTTTTGTTTTGTATCAGCTTAAAACGCATTCCATACTATAGCAATTTTATTCATTATGTCATGTGAAGCACTAATGAACGCGGTATTGAATGGGTTAATAAAGTGTCTATCAATAACGTTAATTACTGAAATTGTTATGTGTGTGCGTGCGCGTATAAGTGTAGTGTGTACGAATGTACGCACGCTTATTGCAATAAACATATATATCTATATAGTACTAATGGCATAACTTCTCTTGTGGACGGATAATGCGGATTAAATTAAATTTAATTAAAGTTAATTATTAATTACTATAAATATCATAAAACGCGCGGTACAAAAATTTCCTATTCAATTTAATGTGCACGAAAGATTTTACGTCTAATACAGTCTGCAGTATACGTGAGCGAGCACATAGATAAGAATTATATTTATTGAGATTGACAATTATGACAATTATGTTTCTATATTATTACTATTGAATATTTTTTTGTGGTTTAAGATTCTTTTGATATAAATAGCAAATCATGATAAAATATTTTTTTTATGTGTGTGTATAAAATAATAGCTAAAGGAACTGCTTTCCTATACAAAAACATCTATATGATCATCAGGGTATTTATATACATATAATAACAATTTGTAATTTTGATTAAAAATATATGATTACAATTATTGACTCAGTTTTCGAGTTGTTATGAATTTAATGTTGTTTCTTGAATAAAAACAATTAAAATAAAATTTATTTTCGCCAATTTTAATAAATATAAAATGCTTTTTTTCTTACTATGAATGGTAATTTAACCAATGAAGATAATATACAATCACTTTTTCTATTATAGTGATTTCCATGTTTATTTCCATATCCAAATTTGCCGAACATATGGTGCACCATATTATGTTGTTTGTTATTCTATAGTCGTTTATTATATTGTTTACTCTTTTATATACGTAATTTAATTTCCCGTGATATATTTCAAAATGATTTCGTACAAGATAGAAACACCTTTTCTTATAAATTTTATCTTCAATAATGATATTACATTTTAAACATTTTAGTTCTTCCCCTACAGGCCTTACATAATATTTTTTCAATAATTCATCAATTTTTCTAAGATTTTTTTCTTTTTCTTTGTGCGCCATATTTTTTTGAATATCTATATTATCCTCTTCCTTTTTCATTATTTGTTCTATATATTGCTCATAAAACCATTGTTGTATTTGTGGATGTAATTCATCTAGTTGTTCTGCACTATTTCTATAAAAATCATCATAACATTATGTAAAAGTGAATTAATTTTAGTTTTTTTATCATATTGAATAATATTTTTGTAATAATATAAGTTATATTTGTATTGGAAAATTAATATTTAATTTTGAAATTTCTCTCTCTCTCTCTCTCTCTCTCTCTGTGCGTGCGTGCGTGTGCGTGCATGCGCGCGCGCGTGTGTATGTGTGTGTCGTGCTATATAATATAAGAAAAAAAAAGTTACTCATCACGATTGCTACTTTGTTGCCCTTGATCGTCCCTTCCAGAATTCTCCAACATATCGACTAATTCTTTTTCTCCATTTAATTTTCGTCTAAATTCTTTTCGTAGATATTCCTCTTGTTTTATTTGATCATCTGAAGATATCCTGTGTCATTAAGAAAAAAAATATTTTAATTATATCAACAAGATGAGTATCATATATGATAGAATGCATTTTGATGCTGCAAGCTAAATAATTTTGGTGAAAAAACGAAATATCTGATTATCATAATATGTAATTCTAGTTGTAAAATTTAGTTGCCTTTTGGCAAATAGAAAAAATACTTGTTTTACCCAATATGTATGTGCCAGTGTTTAAGTAAAATAACCAGCTGTTCTTCAATGTCTAATAGCAAAGCATTCACTTTGAACAAGTCTTTACAGTTGAGGCACACTAATATATTATTCAATATGACGTACTGATCCAATATATCACGTACTATTTTTATATCTATTATTTCTTTATATGTCAGAGAAAACAATCCGTGATATAATTCCCAATGGTTTTTTATAATATGAATGCGGCCAATATCAATAATTTTTCTTAAACAACATATACATCTTAGCTCCAAATTCTGACATTCTGACATTCTCATCATTTTAAATACAGATATTATTATAGAATATTCTAGACAGTCAACGACTTCTTCTATTATCTTGTCAAAATTTTGTAATTTTTTTATTATTTCTTCTGAAGGGAACTCCAAGTAGGTTTTCTCTATATCATGGGATATCTGTTCTTTCATCAATTTCTTATCTACTCGTTGTTGAAGTTGTTCTAATCGATATATATCGTCCCATTGCATCTTTCTGAAAATCCGTAACATTATAATATAGTGAATTAATTTTGATTTTGTATCAGCAAATTACATTTTATACTTTCAGTATCACTTCATTTTTAAGTGACACCACATCGCATGATCACCGGTGACCGGCACAGAATGAATTAAAAAATTATTAATCATATTAATTATAATATCGAATATTCGTTATTTTTTATGTTATTTTATAATATTAAAGTAAGATAATAATTAGATTTAAAAAAAAATTACATAATTTTATAATTAATATTAATAATCAACAAACAATATTAAACAAACTTTAAATTACAAAACTTTCTGGAAATCCTGTGACATCATTTATAAATTTAGATTCCTGAGATCATTTTGAAACGAAAAATCTAATACTAAAACGTTGAGATTAGTAGTTTTTGAAATGTAGCATTAAAAATTAGTGAATCATATCGCCTAATAAAGTTTGTTAAAATAATCGCTAAATTAAGGAAATTGTGCCGAACATAATTTCTCTATGTAAGAATATCTATATACAGGACATTCCGTAATTGTTAATTAATACTTCTGAGAGTCAGAGAGGATGGAATTTTAAACTAAAAGTTTCTTTTCCAATTTTCTCAGATCATTATTTCTCTACCATTTTTTGTCCACCATTATTTATCTAACCATTTATCGATTTATTCATTTATTTATTTATAAAAATGAAAAATAAAAATAAAATCGTAATCGAGAGAATATACAGTGCCAGAAGCTTCATAGTATACTATGCTTTTTCTACATATTCTTCTGGATATAATCTGATTGTTCAACTTAATCGTCAATAACTCGATTATAGTAGAACCAAAATTGGAAATTAACTTTTAATTAGTTCAAAATTCCATCCTTCTTCACTTCCAGAAATATTTATCTGTACATGTCTTTATAATGTTAAAGGATTATGTATATAATAACAGTTTGTAATTTTGTGAAGATATGTATGTACGTTTCTAATCGTAATATCATCTCTATTTTCGGATTATAATTAAAACATATAAAACAAAATTGACAAAAAAAAATTTATATCATACATAAAATGGTTGGCCCAATGGATTTGTAATATATCAAGTATTTCTTCAGTTTCTAATTCCAAGTCGCTTAAGTCTACCTGGTCTTTACAAATTAGACAGTGCGCCTTATCGTCGCTTGTTATCAAGTAATTATTCAACAGAATATGTTGTGCTTTCATGTTTTGTCTTATTACATTTAAATATATACTTGATCTGTTCCCGTGACATATTTCTAAATGGTTTTGTAAGAGGTGTACACCACGAAAAAATATAATTTGTAATTTACATGTTTGTTCTTTACATACTCCAACGAAAAGCTGATTTTGCTTTATTTCAAATTTTTCCTTTAATTCTTTACATCTTGAATGGCCATCTAATTCTGTTCGTTTATGAAGATCGTGTAAATGTTTTATAAATGTTCTTATATAGTTCTTCTCACTTTTTATAAAAACTTCGTCGCAATATGCACATGTTATTATTGAAAAATAAAGAAGAGCTTGTTCTTCTTTGCAATGCCTCTCTAACCACTCTCGATAATAGGCCGACATTTTTCATTCGTTCTGTACCGCGGTTCACTTAATATTAAACATATTTGAAAAACCATTTACTTTTCAAAACTGATTATATAGGTCGAAAAATATTGAAAGTAAATCTTGTACAAGAAGTAAATATTTATATGTAATATACATGACTATGTTCTGTCTATAACTGATAATTCGTATTATAAACGAAATTGGATTGAAATAGATTGAAATATTTTGAAATAAATTCAAATTTTCAGAAATACGTGCATATTCATGAACATTAATAGAAGAATAAATCCTTAATCTGATTGCATTTTTATTCGTTAGGAATTACATGAAGCACGTTTCTATACCATTCAAAAAATAATATTTAATAAACTTTTTCTGTGTATTGTGAATACTGCTTAATTCAAATTTCTGAATAAGAAATGCAGTTTTTTTTCGATCGAACTAAATACAGTTGAATCCAATGTGAACTACGTTCAAATTAATTTTAATTTTTCGAGTAGCATGAAGAATTTAATTAAATATTAATTAAATATTTATATATTAATAATTTAATTTTCTAAAAAAATTTATGTTGCATCATTATTATTGTAAAATGAATATAAGAATATGCGTAAGATTGTCTTATAAAAAATAGATAAGCTAATAACAAAATGTAATCAATATAAATTTTATACAATTAATCATATAATTATTTAATAAGTAATGTATGTAAGTTTTTGAAACATTGATTGAATGTATATCCTATTTTTTAAAATAATAGATATTTCTTACAGATAATTATTTAATAATCAATTTAAAACCCAGTATGTTAATTAAAATATATATAAATAACTTTAATCATTACTTCTAGCATTTAATAAGAAATAAATTATTGCTTGCAAGTGTATAATATTATATATGACATTTATTATGTATTTTATACATACAATTACAGGTATGAAATATCTTTATATACACGTATAATACATTGATACAATAAGATTCCTCCATATATAGATGCCATAGTACCGCTTCGCGAATTGCACTCGTAAAATTATATTTGTATGAATACTCTTCAGTTATATAAAAATAAAAACTATCATTCATTAAAGTGTGTATATAATCATTTTGTGCCATGTACAATTGGGCTATTCTAAATAAATTTTTATCAATCAAAAAGAAAAAACTATATCTCTTACATTAAAAACCATCTTTATCTAGACTAGGAAGAAATTATCTAATGTTTTACTGTCAGTTACGAATAGTAGTCTTTTCAAGAAAACAAATGAATTGATACTTTTAGGCAATGTCGTGTACTATGCAACTTGTTGTTATTGTTATCGTCTAAGGCTTTTTACATTAATTTATTTCGTACTATGATTGTGAGACTTTGAAACTGTGAATTCTTAAAAAAACTATTTTTTAATTAATCTGTTTCTCTTCCTTTTTCTCACAATAAGTTATCCTTATAACTTATATATATACTAGAAAATCAAATTCTTTAATATACTCTGAAACTTTTTATGAATGAACCAGCTAATAAGAAATTTGTATTATTGGAAGGCAATGATTAAAGTTATTAAATAATACTGCATATCAGAATTGCATCATCTCGTTTGAATATATAGATTACCTTTTGCATCATTTATATGCATTATTTATAAATATTTTTTTACGTATAATTCTATATATATTTTTTATATGTATACTTCTATATATTTGCTTTAAAAAATTGATGCACATTCTGAATTGGTATTACGTCAAATAAATTACAAAAAAATATTTTGCCAATTACTTCTGTTTAAGATAATATGGTTAGAATATTTCATATATAGTTACAAATTACAATTAAATTGTTTTACTAAAAAATGCCATCAATATGAATACAAAGATACTATAATATAACATCAATCAAAAATTAATTTTAACTTTAGAGAACTCACTTCTGTTTATAAATTTTTAAAAGTATAAAATCTTCAATTCCATATTCAATATTTTAATTTCCCTCTTATAATATTTCAGAAAATAATACTTGAGAAATATATAACAGTTGTATGTACAATAATAATGTTTAACATAAAGCAAAAGTGAAAAATAAAATAATGAGTTTATACGTAAATAACTTTTGACAGCCGAGATTTGTTATTATACATGTTGGATTTCTCGTAATTTTGATATATCTGTATGGTGTTATATCTGCGAAAAACAATTGACATTTCCAAATAAATCTAGATAGGGTCATTTTATTATTATCGCTCCTCTTTAGAAATACTCATGCGTTGTGCTAATTAAACATTAAATGTTAGATATTCGAAAATTCATGTATCTATACATGAATAATTTTAAAGCAATCGAATCGGTTTCAGATTTTTATCCTGAGTATTTACTATTAGCGCTATTATACATTTGCAACGGTTGATAAGATAGGCCAACATATTAAATATATGCCATGTCATTAAGAAATTCTCAAAAACTAATGATACAATTATATTATTGTTAATATTATAATAAACTACATTAAAAAAATAATGTATTATATATTTTTTAATATAATAGATTGGAATACAACTAGAAGTGTATCTACTTTATAAAAAAAATGTAATCTACTAAAACCAACCAATGCAGTATGTATTTCAGTCGCAAAGAATATTTATAGGAAAAATTTAGAAAATAAAAATGATAAAAATCTTGACACGACTTATTGTAATAAATGAATATGTACTGTTTATAGCTATCATATTGCACGTATTGCCATTCATGCAATTGCGTTTTTTTTAAGTTAAAAATTCGTATTCTCCAATAGTAATAATATATAAATTCTTTTTATGCAATTCTCGATTTTCTCCTTCGTCAATTTATCTAAGCCAGCCATGCATAAAAATAGATATTATAATAATATTTTTATCTCTTATATATTAATCACCGTGTGTCATCCATTTAAAGTGGGTGTGTCTGATAAGGAATGAACACGATTGAATCTACGATTTTTCAATGTTGTCATAGCTTCCATGAGATCAGTTCGTTTACTGAAGAAGTCAACTATTGCTTGACCGGTTAAAGCAGATGCCAAAAACTGCTCGACGGTAATCGACCAATCGGGATCGGCGGAGGACGTTATACTCGATGGATTTCCATTACGATCGGGTGACTGAGAAGGACATATCAAGTTTATAAATTTACTCCTATAATAAAGAATATCGATTGTCAGTACAAATAAAAATATATACCCTTTCGACAACTGAAGAAGCTTGTTGAGCTGCAGAAGCAGCTAAAAGTAAACTATCTTCAGATTCTTCTTTCTCTATATAGAATTTCTTGCCAACATCTCCTAACTGGAGTAAAAGTGTACCTACGATTTAGGTATTATTTTATTTAATTATAATTAAAGATTACTACAATATAAAATTTTTGAATACAGTAATATAAGTGTTACCTATAGAAGCGATGCAATGATATGTTTCCTGTTCTTCAGGTTGAGCAGGAAACATGTCGTAAAGAGTTTTCCATAATGCTATAAAATGTCCTTGAGACATTTTTGGCACAGTTTTAAGATCCAATGGACTATCTTTTGATGCTATCATCGAACGTAAACTACCCATACTCTGAACTTCCCATGATTGATCACCTGGTTGGCTATTCAAGCTTGTAGATCGTGATAAAGTGTCTACAGTTGGCTCTTCGGCTATGCTAATTGGCATTTCCAAGGAAGCTATGCTTTGTTCCATGTTATCAAAAAAATCCGTAGCTTCTGCCGCCACTTCGGCTCCATCTAACCAATTTATATCGTGATGTAACATAAAAAGACATATATAAATATGACTTTCATATATATAGCTGAATATCTACCTGCTGAATGTGTTGGAGATTCAAAGTCGGCAGGTGTAAGAAGTGGCGGTAAATGCAACGTATATAATAACTTTAATCTTTGCGTCAAATCAGCTGTTGCTGTCATCCCTATGGCCTGCACCAATTCCCGGAAGTTTAACAAACCGTCACGATTACGATCCATTAACTAAAACATTTTTTAATTAAAATAATTAATATTGTTTTCGTTTATAATAAATTCTTGCAAAATATAATGATTTTTTAAAATTTAGTTTCACTATGCACAATTTTATAATGTATGTTAATCAAACTATGATTAATTTATTTATACTGAACTTACACGAAATAGTCGCGCAGAAAGAGATTCAGCTTGAGTGCATTTTCCCCATGGAGACAGACCACCAAATAATATTCTAAATAAGTCAAAATCTATTTTATATGCTTCGTATGGCGGTTGGGTAGGATCATAGCGATCAGGTTCGGATTTTCGTTGGCTCATTAGCTCTTCTCTCACTAAACTTAACAATTCCTACATACATAGCACATATAATTAAAATATTTATAATTTCTACGATTTGTTTATATGGAACTATTCTAAATTACCTGCAACTCTTCCATTTTCATATATTTATCAATAATAACGCTTCTAATTACATTTTTTTCAATTCCATCTTCGAGGCTTTGAACTACCCTCAATCTATGCTTCAAGCGCAATCTTTCTATGCCACCAATTGTTAAAGATCCATATCTTGAATACGCTTCATAAATTAACGTTTGAACAGATATACTCTACAATAGCAAATATATTTCAGCTAGGTTAATAGTCGAAGATTAAATAAAATGATCAGAAGATATGTGTATTCTTACCTTATTGAGTAATGTACTATCAACTGGTTTAGGAAATATTGGACCTTCATCATTATAAACGCCACCAAGGTAATCTGTCAACAGTTGCATGGCTTCTCCGTCATCGCGACAATTAAGTAACTTGTCTTGATTCCATTCCAATACAGTCAATGCTATCTGATAAAGCAGAATAGATTTATTTATTATAAATATCTCGTATCTATTATATGTAACAAGTAATTTGATTAAATTAAAAAATTTTAATGAATTTAAATAAAATAAAATAAGAAAAATTGTCAAAATTAAAAGAAAATTTATGTTAAATTAAATTTATTTATATAATTTAATTTATACAATAAGAACCTTTCATACAATAATCTTTAAAATTTATCAAGAATTATTTTTGTTGAAAGACCTCATTAATTGAAAAAACAATTGAAAATAAAGCTACTATATTTAGTTTGTTACCTGAAAAATAACTTTTGCCCCATCATAGAAGAAACAGTCCATAATATTTACAGCGCTACTAGTTGGCATAACACTCAAGAATATAGTTAAAAACCAAGATAATGAAATAACTTTAATTAAGCCAAGCTCCTGTAACTTGGCATGTAACACTGGCAAATGCTCGGCTGCCAGTTCCTCTAAAAGACCTTGGTCAACGAGAGCACCGACCACTCTGCGATCATAATAATCAGGTAGTAATGATTCACAAACATTACATAACTGCCAGAATGCTGATTCCTCAGAGCAATAAATTAATAGAACTGATGCTACTATATTCATTGCCTGACAATAACCTATAAGAACATAGAATATTTATGAATAATTTCATTTATATTAACGTGCTACTAAAAATAACAGCACGATTTAATTATTTATTTTTAGATATTAATTATATATTTTAACACACTTAAACCGTCGGTTTTTAACCGATAAATAGATATTCAATAAAATTATATAACAAAAATTGTATTTATTATAATTAAAAAATTCGATTAGTAGGAATTTCAAATAGCTATGTTACAAACAGAAAAATATTAGACTTGCCTATCTGAGGATTTCGCCATGCATAGGCAGATAATACCCTTCGTAACGCACTGATTCCAGTATCTGATTGGAAAGCTGGATGTTCTGGTAACGATCTATGCAAATCCCTTTCGATTTCCTCGTTTGCTTGACATGATTTACCAAGAGATTGTTCGACTAATGATTTATACAAATCTGGATTCATTGCCTTCTCATTTAAAGCACCTATAAAACAATATTATTTTATGTATTAAATCTCAATATTATTTATGAGATATGTATCATTTATATATATTACCAGAAAAGGTGAGCCAAACTTCTCCTCTGAGAGATTGAGGTATTCCTTGAATAACGAGTTTCGTAGTTTCCGTAGTTCTGTACATAGTAATTCCTCTTCCATATTCCGCAAAATGAAGTTCCCATTGCTTCTCTTTAGCTTCTTGTTTCAACGCGGCTTCGGGAGTCAATGGGGCTTTGAAAAGTATCATCAGTGGCGGTTGTGGTTTCCATTGTTCTGTAGGCTTTATTTCCTCGCAATTGTTGCTCGTATTCGGCAAATATAAATTCTCTCTCGTTCTATAACAAGATTACAATTTTATGTTATTGCATATATTTTACATTTTTATTTTATATCTACTAGAAAATGTAACGCAACATAACATACATATAATTAAGTTTAGATTTTGACAAGAGCTCAGAGATTTTTTGCACCACGAAATCTCTATCGTGTATTTGGGCGAATAGAAATGATGAACGCGCCGTTGTGACTAATATTGACTTATCTGCTCCTGTGCTGGACTGATTTTCCGCCGATTCAACGAGCGTTACTTCTCTTAGAGGTATAACTAAACTGACTTGTCTTCTTACCTAAATAGATTACAAGTAATAAATAAATTTGACACGTTTAAGGAATTCATTAGTTTTAATATAATATGCTTACCCTACTTTCAAAACAAAGATAATTTTGAGATAAGTATATCTTTCCCCAAACGTATCTTTTGTTGTATGGAGTCCATAAAGTAGCATCAATGCTACCATCTAATTTCTCGGTTCCTGGCAATCTAAATTGAAGCCTGTATGTTTCTGAATGTGCCCGTGCATCCAAATCTCTCTTCAAGAAAGATGGCTTTTTAGGCACATTTTTGCTAAATTAAAAATTAATTTAATATTTATTTCTGCATAACTTTCTAAAAAATAATATAATTATATATCAATATACCTTAATTTATTCAATAAGTCTCTATCCTCATTAAATCCACTTTTTTCATCGATAAGTCTACAAAAAAGCGAAAAAAATCATTTTGTGATAAATTAATACATAAAATGTTCTTTAAATATTCTTTAAATTCTTCTATATGCTATATTTTAGTAAACTATAGTACCTTTTCATAGCGATATTGGTCAGTTGTTCCATTAACGAATATGTTTCTGATTTATGTATAAACATAGAAAAATAATGCTGTAACACAAATGAAAAAATTAAATGTTAAGAATTGATTGAAATATATGGAATGTATCATATGTGTCGATAATAATAATACATAGAAACGTGTACACATTAACATATACCTCTTTATTGTCACGTGTTACAACACGTATACTATCTGGAACTATAAGGGAACTAGTTTTGTTCAATTCCGTAATGTCTGTCCATCTTATGGTCAATTTCGTTTCTCTCGCTAATATATAGGCATAAAAGCACATGTGATTTACAGATAAATAGAGCCATCCTTGTCTAGGTAATCGTGATTTCCAGTAACTAAAAAAAAAAACATAGCCACCTTATGATTACTTTCTTAAATGTATTTAATATTATATTTTTATGTAATCTTTATATTTAAATTTTAAAAACCTGCACGAATAATAATTGACCAATTTGTCCTCTTTGGGTATATTGAACAATTGGTGAAATTTAAAAGACACAGTTTTAAAAGACTCTGGGTCTTCTTCTGTAATATCAACGTTCAATTAAAGCATTTGTAAATGTTTTTACAATGTAAATAATGATTAATGATTCTACCATCTGCAAACTGAGAATCCGGGATGCTATTTGCTATTATAGATTGAATTTTGCAGCAAACAAATTCCGTTATCTCCTCCTCCGTATCGAACGACGTAAGCGTAGCCATTAAATTCGAGTGGAGCCATTCCCAATCCTGCACAATCTCCTCATGAGTCAAGGAACATGCCACTTCTGTAAGTTTCAAATGTAAAAGGACATATTACAGATTCAAATTCTACTTCAGAGATTTAATTAATATAAAACCTAATAAGCCTTGTAATTTTTTTCAGATTGTAGTTGCATAAAATTGTAAGTGAAAGCATTGAATGACACTCTTATGTTCCCTTGGCATTTGCCGTACAGCTGACAATTATTTATGCTAATATACACTGTTATCAGCTACTATCACTACTATTAAAGCAATACTCACACATATATTCATTGTCCTTGGCTTTACATCTTTTTAAATGCATAATATGAGCAAGAAAATTAATATGTAATAATTATAATAAGCATAATTGTATAATTTAATTAAATGTATATGTCTGTAGATAAAAATGATCTCCAATTCGTTTTTTTCTCCTTTTTTTTCTTTCTTTCTTTAAAAGTGGTGGTTTGGTGTCGAAAACGCTGTCCAATGTGCCCACCAATATGGAGGTAAGACCTTTCGTTTTTCCATGTCCTTTACGACGTTGTAGTACAAAATATACAGTCGCCTGTTCAGTAATCCTATATTATAAAACGACACAACAAAATTATACATATTATAAATGTCTATCTAGAAAGAAAATATTTTTCAAAAATAATTTTAGAATAATTAAAATAGTTCTTCAATAAATATATAATAACCATAAACATTTAAAATAACATCAAAAATTCAGTACAATAAATAGACTCAAATATGATAAATTCAACTAAAAAAAATTGAAGAAAATATATTTGTTTAATTTAAATATAAATAAAAATTTTGAAAAATTAAAGAAATATGAATTATTTTATCGTTAAGATTTTTCACAAATTGCCATTATCAATAATCTCTTTCTCCTTTAACATTTATTGTTATTACTAGTCGTTATTGTGTATATTGAAAGCATGTCAAATTAGCGTCAAACTATCCTCGTTTATCGTGTCACTGATGTCGACATCACGATCGCCGCTTATCGAACCCGACCAGACATTCGCGTCGTATTTTTGTACACATTTTACCAGGCGTTTTCGCGCTCGTTATCTATTGTACGTGGCTTAACGCGTTAACAACGGTAATTTTGTCGCGTTATGACGTTGGTAGCCGATAAACGCTATTCCGCAGTTGAAATGATGTCGCGAATATCAAGAAATTGTTGTCGAAATCGCGGTGTGATAAAGACCATGATGGAATCACCGTCACGATAAAGTCACCTCCCGCGGTCGAGAGAACGGCACCTCCCCGTCAGCTGTCTCCGACATGTAAACATTCCGCGCGATCGACTGCGACTTGACGAATGACGAGTCGTCTCCGAGACCGGTTGCGACCGCTGGAGTTGGAGTTCAGATCGCGGCGTAGCATCTCGGAGCCGTTGTCAATCGGTGACAACAAGAGGCCTTGTTCTTTTCGGCTGAACTTCTTCGCTTGAAGAAAAAAGGAGGAAAATTGACCCGTGCAAGAGACAGCATTCGAAAACATTACCTCCGAGTATTATTTTATCCTATCATTTAACAACGAGGATAAAATGATATACTAGTATTTTTTCGCCCAAGGAGTTCAGCTAAAAGGAACACAAACATCGTTAGGCGCGATTTTACCAGAACGCATTGGCGAGCAGCACTTCTTGCGGCTTCACCCACATCTCGATCGCCGTCCACACCGCGCGAGGTACATATGGCACTGACACAGAACGACGACGATGACAACGACGACGAGAACGAGGACGTCACACACGCACAAGCAATCCTCTTCGAGGAACTGCCGCGGTTGCCGCGAAAATGCCGACGGTGGAGCGAAGGGGGGGGAGAGGAAAAATTAAAGCAATATACTCGCGACAGATAAACACCGTCCGTGACGGCGAAACGATCAGCTGCGACTCTTCGTGAGGGACGCACGCTCGCCACGCCACGCGGAACGAATGTCATTAAAGTGGAGAGATATCGTTACTGGTGATCGATATTGCAATTTCTACACTCTGACTGTATACTCGACATATCTCGACGACGATCAACGACGATCCGAGTCCATCTGAATTTTTAAGGCGAAAGACTGGACTTAAGAGAAATTTTGACTATTAACACGACAGGGGTACGAATAATTTGGAAAGATTAGAGGATAATCCACTGTTTTTACGTAAAAACGCAAGTGAAAACTTTTATTATCTATTATTTCTATATATTATCACAATTATATATTTTTTAGAAAGTAATAACCGCATATCATATTTTAATTTGCTAGTAGTTAGTCCATAGTGTCTGTATGATTCTGAATATTTCTGACAGATTTAATTTAATCCTAGCAATTTTGATTGACTATTAACACAACAGAGATGTGAATAATTTGATAAGGTTAGAAAGTAATAGTAAACCATTGTTTTTTTTTATATATGAAAACATTTATATTTGTTATTTCATACTTGTATATTTTTAGGAGGTACCGACTGCATATTACATAGTTCTAAATTGCTAGTAGTTAGTCTATGTTGGACATTTCTAATAGATTTAATTCAATTCTAGTGGAAATTTCTAATTGTTAAAAAGATCAAGTGCTGAATAGAGAAACAAAAGATATAAAGTAATGTTTTTGAGGCTTCTATGAATACTTTATATACAAAAGCTATGTATTTCGCAAATTATCTCCATGTCTGGATCTATTATAATACCAATGTTTCATCAACATTGAAGTTTATATCATTAGAGCAAGGAAACAATATTATATTGTGACTGTTTTTCTTCTTCAGATTGAGATTTTGAATTGCAGTACTCAGAAATATAGTCCGTAGCCAGTATAACACATGATTAATGATATCAATAAGATTAGGAGCAATATAAAATTTGATAAGACATTTAAAAAATCCACAATACAAAGGTAACGGAAAATTTGTAGAAAATTTATAATCTTGTTTACAATTTATGAATTTACATTATCCTGGCTTGATTGACCTAATCCTCTAAAGAATTACCTTTGTATACACTTTTAAGAATAGAAGGAGAAGAGAATGAAGACTGGAGTTGACATTCATTGAATCTAGACACAGAATTAACTCGCAAAATGCATAGCTACTGTATAAAAGATAAATCTAATACTGAAAGCATATTAATGTTGAATTATTTTGATAGAATGGAATGTTTGGAAAGAGTTAATCATCCAGGATCATGGGTGAAGGAAAAATATCAGGAGGTTCAGCAATTATTAGAACATGAGGCAAAGAGTGATCCAAATAAGCTTTACGAGAAAAAGTCTAAAGCTGTGGAGATTCTAATGGAGATACTAGAAGCGCTTACGCATTGCAAAGAAACTCTCTGCACTGTAGCAGCTGCGATAACTTATTTGAACATAGGTATATTACGAGCTGACATGGAAGATACAGGATTTGCTACAGAATGTTATAAAAAATGTATTGACTTATTGGAAGATAGTAAATTGACATCTGAAGGCATTTTACCAGCTATAAGCGGTAATAATCAATTGGGTCTAATTTATGCGCAACGAGGTTCATATGAGGAAGCTAAAGACTTTCTAAAGCAAGCGGAAGACTTATATATTAAGTTTACAGAAGATATTAAACTTGATCCTGTCCATATGGTATCCATTATGGGTATTGAGGAGATAGAAGGAAATCTATGTGCAAAAAGTATTCTCGAAAAGCTTCACACATTGACTCTGTATTATTTAGCACAGGTGTGTCGCGAGTTAGATGACAAGTGTAATTTTGCTCTGTATTGTCATAGAACATTGAGCAAGCAATTAAGTCAAAATAAAATAACGCAAGATCTGGATTATGTCGATTGGGCTTTAAATGCTGCAGCAATATCTCAATATTTCATAGAACAAGACAAATTTCCACAAGCGAGGCATCATCTAGCTGCAGCATCCTGTATATTGGAGAAATATTCTGAAATCTTGAAGGCAAAAGGCACTAGGGAAACCAGTGAGATCATTGCTGCGCAATACGAAAATTACGATCATGGATCAGCAAATATCGCTAGATGTTGGGCGAAGTACGGTATTGCTCTCTTGGGAGCATCTAAAGAAAGATTAATGAAACAGGCCGAGGAAGAGGATCAGGAGGATTCAAAGCCTGCGAAAGTTGCTGATAAAGTCTATAAATATTCTCAGATTGAAATCATGGAGGATCCAAGATTTGTAGATCTAGAACCAGAATTAGAATCGATTACCAATGAAGTTACAGATATGTATTTATTGGATTTTAATGATGCTAGACCGGTATTCTTGAACGTTCGAAAATGGTTGGATAAGGCGAAGGAATATTATACTTTCGAGAATCATGCGTCAGATTATGCCTGGATTATCCAAGATCTTTCTCAAGCATACAAATACTTGGCGTTCTTCGAAGACAACGAAGACAGACAGGCGAGAATGCACAAACGGCGGATAGACATTCTGGAGGAAGTAATTGAGGATTTGGATCGAGCTCGCGGAAACGTATTCGGAGATCTTGGACTTGAAGATTGATCGTTTGCAAGCATCCAACGAAAGGCCGACGGCGCATGTAATAGCGAAGATCGAGCGCCTGGCGAGAAATAGCATAAAGCACTATCAGTCGTACTTGAATTCTTTAGAGATGAGCAAATCTGAAAACGGAGTCGAGTCCTTCTCGGACGACTTGCTGTATCCAGCGTTGTATACTTACTTCCATGTGGGAAGATTGTATAATAAGATTATAACTTCCGACGTACAACAAAAAATAGAAAACATGCAGAATAGCGTTGATGCTTACAGTTTTGTCGTTAATTATTACGATAAGCATCCTGAAAAACAGAAGAAGTTAGAAAAATACGAATTTATAAAATTGTCTAAAGAATTTATCACATTGCTGCCGCTTACAATAGATAGATTAAAACAGCAGATAAATCAATAATATTATTTCTCTCTCTTTTTCATTTCCGTGACAATGTTGAATGATATTTTCTTCTGAATGGTATTTTTCTCTCTGTGCAGCAGACGATGGTTTTTGTACGAGGGAATACAGAAATCTACATCTGCAAAGCATATATTTATGTATCGCGTTTAAAATAAATGCTTTCTTATGTATTTGCGGTCAGCTCATTCCTTATATTTGTACACTTATATTTGTATATATACACACACATATATATATATATATAATCATATATTATACATTATATATTGCCATGCATTAAAAATATATTTAAGAATGAAAAAATAGTTATTGTGTACTAATCTTTTTCCTCTTTATTAAAAAATAAATAAATAAATAGTTCTATACATATTAATAAAATAATGTTAAATAAGGCTTATTGACTGAAATAATCGGAATTTGATCGAAGTTACTTCGATTTATTAATTAAAAGTACTATAAATAATATAATAGTAAAACATTGTAGAAATAATAGACTTTTTAATGACGTTGTCTATAGCGCATTGAAAAAATTGGTACGTTTAAAAAATACGTTTATAATGGACATTAGGCCATTATAGAATTAAGTTCACTATAGATTTATGGAACATGTAATAATTTATACATGTTAATCATATGTAAATCTTGTAAACAGTCATTGAAGACAACTGTTGAAAAAAAATCGAAACATTTGAAACATTGTTTATATGTAGTTTAATAAAGCATTTTAATTAAAGCATACATTAACTTGCTCAAAAAGCCCTTATTGTATATTAATTGAAAAATATATTATATAAACTACATATATATATATATATATATATATATATATATATAATACTGAAAATATATTAACATTTTATATATTAATTATATATATTATTATATATTAATATTATAATGTTACTACAGATCATCTATTTTATCTTAATAATTTTTTTTTAGTTTTAAATATTACAATATAGAAAATTTACAAATTTATTTTTATATATTTTTATATATTTTTTAATATTATTTGTACGTGAAACATATAAATGCAGCATCTCATGCGTGCAAATAAAACAAAAATTGGACAAAAATTGTTTTGTTGCATCGCTACCAGTCGCCGTTTCGGCTGATAAGATTGATAAGGTCGCTGTACGAAAGTAGATGTCAGCACGCGCAGCGAATATTCCTTGCAATCCGCGCTGCGGATCGTCCGGAGCGGTGAGTCCAGGAACAAGAAGAGCTTCGAGTCTCGTATCAGGAATACGGATTAGAGTCCTCGTCGGTGTTGTTCCTCGTTCATTCATTGTAAGTGAAAATGGCGGCCTTGGCGGGTATTCGGCTGTTGATGAGGAACACCGGTTGCTTCAGGAACTCGTTCAGCCGATTGCGATGCACGAGTAGTGCACTCGTTCAGATGCGATGTGAGCAGAGGTTGTTGCATCGTGCCGCGTGGACGACGCTTGTCGTACCGCAGGTAATATTAATGGACAGTGTGATATGCGTGATCGACTCTTCGCCGAGCAATTGTTCGCAGCAACGGATTTCACGGAACTCTTATGTAACTGAAGCGACTTGAAATACTTGCCGAGATGCCCAGAGACTCGTCGGTCAATCAGTTCAATTCATCTTAGCTCAATACATTTATTTTGGTTGCGCTTTCTTATACTCTTGGTATTTACAATTCCTTTACCCATCAGTTGCATCATATGATAGATTTTGTATATAGTTTTGTTGGAGATATAAACAAACAACCCATATTTAATCTGGATTAACACTATATTTGATCTGGACTAGACAACCCATACTTGATCTGTGCAAAAACAAAAAGAGCTGATTGAGAAAGTATAGAAAAAGGAAAAGCATGAACTGGACCATTTGTGCTAATATAGATCAACTTGAATCTCGATTTAATCTTTATTTTCTAATTCTTAGAACTAGATAAAAATATTGAGTAAGTTAAACTGAAATTAAAATTAATGTATATCGATAGAAATGAACATTTGGCCTCTGTTTTCAATGATAGTAATAATATTGTTATGAAGCTATATAACAACAACATAACGACATCAAAATTTAGAGCCTAACAATAAGTTTAATCTTTTATTCCTTTGTATGCAGATTTGTATGCAGCATTTTTAAATATTTTATCCTAAAACATGTCAATTTATTTTTGTTAATATATGTATTTAAGATTTTTATAATTGAATTTAAATTACCATTATTTAATGAAGTACTATAAAATCATAGAATTAGAATATATTTTTTGCAAAGTATATCCAAGTACAATCGACATTTCTTCATGAAATCATTTCGTAAAAACTGAACATTAAAATGTATACAAAAAAATCATTTGATGAATACAGGTAAAATGCAATCGTGGATACTGTCAAGATGTTACTAAAGAGAAACCGAAATCGATTAAGGATATCGAAGAGCGCGTATTGAAGACTGTAGCCGTTTATAACGACGCCCTTGTAGAAAAGGTTATAAAATATATTTTACAACTTTCTTCTTTCTGGGAAAAATTTTGCAGGGCTTAAGGGACACACGCATCAAGCAGGTGCGCCATTACAGTCATAAGGATCCGCTAACCCTTGATATTATCAGTCAGCGGGTGCTCTTGGTTCTGAAACTTTATGACAAAATTGAACCCACAAAGGTATCTTAGAAATCAATTTTCTTGAAATATTTGCCATGACATTTCTGTAGACGATTCTGTATTTCTTAACGAAAAAATGTAAAAATGCATACAAAATTTCATCATTAGTTTATCATAATTGTTTGAAAAATACTTAAAAATAAAAATCATGTATATATCTTTTTAAACACATAGTTTTTCCATATTAATTAGAAGAGTTAATACTTTCTTATACATGATATAATCAATTTTCTGTTGCTAATTTCTTTGCTGAAATGTCTTGAGAAATATTTCTTAAAACAAAGAATAGTTGGTTAAAACCTCGCTTGATCGTGGCGTCTGCGTACATACTGACATATAGAAACAAATCTCTTTATTAACTCTTATTTACTTTATTTATATAATAATTTGCATTATTATATACTACTGTTAAATATATGTACTGTTAAATATATACTGTAAAAATATATATGGCAGAAGAATATTTACTATTTATATAATATCTAATTAAAAAATTTAAATGTATAAAATACTCTCCCTAATGTATTTCATTCAATTAATTTTATCAGAGAGACATGTCAGTTGTGCAGGAAGCCCAGGCGTGTGATTGAATCCTAATCTAACGATACATTGAATCTTCAGCTGTCCTTGGATTCACATTTTATGGACGACTTGGGTCTGGATTCTCTGGATCATGTGGAGATCATAATGGCGATGGAGGACGAGTTTGGCTTCGAGATTCCAGACATGGACGCTGAGAGGTTACTGAAACCTAAGGATATAGTGTGTTACGTAGCGGACAAGGAGGATATATATGAATAACATGCCTTGAATTATTTATGTCTACGCGATTTAGTCAACATCCGCCGTTGTTTCGATTGGAAATAACGTATCACAGCGTTTTACCCTGCCGCTCTGTTTTTTTCTGTATATAGACACTTATCATTATATGAATAAAAAATAAGCGAATTGTTACATCGAATTTCTCTTATGTGCGTACGTATCCTAAAAAATAGTAAGAAGCGTACAGAGAGCTGTTTATAAATTCCACAATTTAGTACTGTATTGAAATATGTTCTTTTATTTTATAATATTACTGTATATTTCATATTCGTAAAATTCGTATTATTAAAATTACTAACTACAATCATGATAATAATTAAATTCGTCAAGAACGCAATACAACGTTGTGTTCCCGATTTTTTTATATAAAAATTTTTTATATAAAAAATTGAATTATCGCTGATTCAATCGAACAGTTCGAATCAATTATTTTGAATTTGATTCTGATCATTTTACAAGTGTAATAGAATAGGATATTTGTATTTAAGTAAATTTGAAATTTGAATATGCCATCTCATGTGGTGCCACTGCGCGCATGTAAATTTATTTTTTTTGTGATTTTCTTGGAAGTATCTTCAATTTATGGAAGTTATTAAGGTATTTGCAGGCATGTAAATTCATCGTCGACAAATACCGATTATGCAATTCGTTTTGCAACTGCGAGTGTTGATTTTCCATATTCTGTTTTTAGTATTTTATTTGTCGATTTCTTTCCGACATGTTGATTAGCTGCAGGATAGAGAATTTTGAAATGTGAGAGTGCAGGCACTGCAGGCTCGGCAGATCCGCGCATGTACTGTGGTATGAGAGATATATCGTATTTGTGTGAGTGAATTGTGCCCAGCTGTTGCCAGCAATGCCAGCTGTGTGCGCGGAGTAGTTTGTCAAATTACGTCTCTCAAGTCAATCTTTTGGGAAAACCGCATTTCTCTCCAGTTCTGTAATTCGAGGGGGCGATAACGCTAAGTTCTACAATGACGTCGAAATTGAGGAACAGAGATTGCGTGAATAAAATCAGACATGGCTCGCCTAAGCTGCAGGAGGTGCTGCGAGAGGTTGAGAAGTCTATGTTTACCTCGTACTACTTTTAAGCTTTCTGGATGATAATAATATAAGCGACTCTGCATTCTTTTATGAATATTCTTGCATAAATATGCGCACAATTTTTTTCGTGCCTGTTCTTTTGTTCAATTAAAGTTCAAGTTCAAAGTCTGATATCTTCAATTTAAATATCAGATATTCTATAATGTTACCTGTATCTTTTGTTGGAAAACATTTATTATCATATTTTGGGTGTTTTCCATTTAGTGACACAAGTCATTGATACAAATGTCCAATCTTTATTCATTGAATGCCAAAAAGGACAGAATAATGTTTATGTCAACAGTTTCTTTTTGGTGTCAACTTGTGTCACTAAATGTAAGGCCCATTTATACATAAAGTGCTGTCTTTTTTTATTTTCGAAAATATTGCTTGTTTTTAGAAATGTCGCCAGAGAATGCGAGACAAGCGGGATCAATTATTTAACAAACGTAGATTCGGCTTGGAACTTAACTCAAGACACATGCAGGACACATTGACAGAAATAATACGTCAAGAATTCAAGAATTTAGCAACATTAGATGACAACGACAAAAGTATTACATTTAAAGAGATTGAGGAGCCATTATCTCAGGAAGAGGCAGTTGAATTAGAAAACGAAATTGTTTGTGAACAAGGTATAATCAGCATTAAAATTTCAGTTATATTATTAGAAACTTGTAATTTATAATTATCATTATTAATTTATTTGTGATATAATATGAATTTGATGGAAAATTATATTGTTATGCAGAACAATGGATAATCCAAGAATATGAGAAGATTTTGCAGGACGAGATCGAATATTTCGCAATGTACGCTGATAATGAAAATAGAGAGGTATTCTGTCCCATATGTCAGAAAGCTATACTAGGAGAAGAGAATAATTGTGTGAATTGTCCAGTCTGTAAACTGAAATTGACAGGTCGTACCATGCAAGAAGTGAGACATTTGATTAACGAGAGTATAAATATCCACGCATTCAATTGCGTCAAGGTACCGCTATTCACAATAATACCTGATAACAGTAATCTTAATTTGTATTTGATATGTCATGACTGTTCCACCTTGGCATTGATTTGCTGATTATTCAGCTGGTGAGCTTTTAATTTTTTTAAATAAAAACGTGCTGAATAATTAATATATTTTTGCGTAGGTATTAAATGCTATCAATATCAATGTGTGTCCAAAGATTATAAAATAACAATTGTAAACAATGCGTATTATAATTTACATGCAAAACAAAGCTTTAATGCTAATTAAAATTTTTGTGACATTAGGTTTTTTAAGAAAGTATTTATAAATTTAATTTGTTTCAATTTATAAAATACAATAAAAATTAAATGTCAAATTACATTAAATAACAATATTCATTATGAGGACTTTCCAATAGTTTTGTTACTTTCAATAAAAATTATTTCGGGAAAGCATTTTCCGAATATTACAAAAATTGTATTATATATTTGTATTTAATTTTATGTGACTAAATTTAATATGAATAATATCATTCAATATAATTATTTATAATATTTAGAAGCAATGATTACGAGAAGGAAAAAGTAGAAAAAAATGAATTAGTTTGGATTTCATGTTGTTATAACATCTGAATAATAACATGTCAATCTTTTTTTTATGCTTATGATACATATTGTACAAAAAAACATCCCTTCGATGAGTTCACTTATATTATTTATCACTTAATGCATTGTACATACATGATGTAAGTTGAACGAGGGCATCTATATATTGTATAAAAAAATAACATTCTTCATGCTCTAAAACAAAACAACAAATTAACAGAGTATACATAATGTGAAAATATATAATGTCAATTTAAAAAAGAATTTATTTTCATAGAATTAATCATTTTGTTCTCTCTTAACATCGGGCTATATACAACATTTTACATTAACAAAAATACTACAATATGCAGAAGCCCTTTGTAGTTTAAGCTATATTCGGTATTTAAACCTTTTGCAAATGATTTGTACATTATCACATAAATTTCCATATTAAAGATCTCATTTTATATAATGGTGTGAACATATGTCTTATGAGCAACCCCCTTTTTATCGTCTCCACGCAATTATAAGCTAAATAAAGTATATACACCTCTTACTGGCGTACTTGTACAAGTATAAATTAATAGCAGTATATTTATATCATGAATTGATAAAGAAAATTATTTGTATCTTCAAGTCACATTTTCCCAAAACTTATCTTTTCAACAAACACAATTGTTATGGACTCTTAAAGTTAAAAAAAGAATAATCAGTGTTAGCTTGTAATGGTATTAACTTTTTACTTGATGTAAAAAAAGAATTAACAAAAGTTAGGCAAACGAGTGTTCCACAATTCTGTTACAGTTTCAACGGTTTTGGCTTGTACTTCGAACTTTTGCAGCAATTTTTTTTTATTAGCAAAAAAGTGTGCGCCTTAATTGAAATCTTACAGTGTTAGATAGTACACTTATTTAATTTGATCATCAAACACAGTAAATAGAAAAGGATTAATGCGATACAAAAATACTAGTACGCGAGTGTTTTGGGTGCCTACAAAAGATAAGTGAAATAAAAGAATGTAACAAATTAACTGTAATATTCTAATACAAATTCTTAGAGATCTACCCATTTTAGCAATTTTAATTTCTTAACGTTTTATTCTAATTCAATTCGTTATGACTGATTCCTGATCTATCTTTGTAAATTTAATATATCTCATATTCTTGACTTCAGGCTTTTGTATCTTTTTTAACTGGCATAGAATCTTGAAAAGTATGAATTAATGCAAATGAGTGAGAACTCAATCTATAATCGAGAGTGTGGAGGATTTAATCTAGGATTATATCACTGAAGTTGATGAAATATAATGCGATCGAAACGAAGTTAACACCAAATTAAATATAATTTACATATAAAGAACTAAATGCTTTGGATTTTTTACTAAGTACCACGCCGTACTCTCGTTTGCCGAACTTCTTTTTTTTCAACTCTTGAATTATCTTTGCAGTTCATCAGAACATTTATGGCACTGAGTCTATCATTTTTAATGCGTTACTTATCTTTCGTAGTATTTCCGCAAAGAAAAATGTCCTAAAGCTAAAAAAGTTTATTCACAGTACATGATCTATTTTAATAGTTATATGATAATTCCTAATCGTACAATGAAGTGACAATATAAATAAAACATTTTTCGAAAAAGATTAATAAAAATATTAATATAGAAATTCAATCATTTTTTGGTCAAGTTTTTAGATTCTTATAGTCTTATAATAATTATATTTATATAATATGTTAAACTATCAATCTGAAGAATATCTCTCAAAGCAATGGAATGAATTTAATCATATAAACGTTTATTATGCGTAATTATAGAAAAGTTATACGAATATGTAGTAATTTACTTTTTTTTTACTTTACAAATTATTCCATAAAGATATCATTAGAATATTTGAATCTGTGTAGTTTTACATAATGCATACAACTGCGTGAAATAAACGTGAGAAAAAGTACACATGAGACAATTTTGTCAAAAAGTAATTATGTTAATGCGAATGATTGTGCCATGTCAATATTAGTATCAAGTACTGCATCAACATACATACTGTCAGCATACGTACTGCAGTATAAGTGTGTAATATGTACACATATTTTTTATTCAAATCTGTAATATAAAACGTTTTTTATAATTATCTATTATGGATTTTGCAACAATAACGTGACGTTGCAATAAAAAGAGGAATTGCACTTAAATTCTTATTTCTGCGTTTCGGTTAATTAACCGAATGTTATGTCTTCTTTTTGTTTCGCATAGGCTAACTTAAGTTATACGGTAACTATCATCCTTACATTCGTATATGTATCTAAACCTTAAACTTTTTTTATACAAACGCGCTGTTGAATTCACGCACTTGATCACTGCATGGATCGTCGGCGTTCCGTTCGATTGACTGCCGCAAGCGCTTCTTCGGGAAGGCGGGTCGGATCTGATAAAATATCAGTGGCAGTACACAGAGTCTTGAGAGAATTCAAAACAGCTGAAAATAACATTTTGGTCAAGATAATTATGAATATTTATTTAGAAAAATTACAATGTCAAAGAGAGATCTTACAAATAATAATTTTGAGCAAGTTTTTTCTATTCTCGTTTTAGTTGGTTCCTTGAATCATACCAACTTACTTTGTACAATTAAAAGCAATGGAAAATTTATATTTATTTAAGCGTATTTTTTTGGACACTTCCTTTGCATACGAACCTGGTCTGAGATCGACGAGTGAACAATGTTGGTCTACCCACAATAATGTACTTCTATACAAATCCTCGATACTCGCAGTTGAGACTGAAGCATTAAAAGACAGCATCAATGGTTCTAACAATATACTGAACTGATTTTATTATATTAAGGAATCTAATCTTTCAAAATTCTTGATATACTTTACATGAGTCAATAGTTTAAGATATAATGTATAAGAAAAAGAAAAAAAAGGATACAATCCAGAATTTCCAGTCTTCTTGCGTGCGCACACGTACATATTCGTCAAACATCTCTTTTATCTTGCTAGTTCTATGTCTAGAACCAATTGGAGCACCCGTTGCAGGAAGCATAGATTGACAATTACTACAAGAATAAAGCATCATGAAGCACGTAAGATTATCTTATTTATATAGATAATTGTACATTTAACAATTATTCATGAGCGATAATTGTTAATTAGTCATTATTTTAAATATATAATTTTACTTATAACGTTTTCCTAATTTATTAGGAATATAACTAGAATGTACCTAATAGACATATTAAGGCACTCAATTTGTTGTCTCAGACTATCCATCTCATCTTTTAATTGATGTCTTTCCGCCTTAAGTTGTCGGATATAATCCGCCCCTTTATGTAACATTGCGGCTTTGCTCAATTTCGTATTGGAATTCTGACTGAGCTGTGGTATCAAACTGTGCAGCATATCAAAGCCATTCTTGATGTTATATCTACGCTTCTGTTCTGCATGAATATGACCGACTCGCCTCTGCTCTTTGTACTGCCCCCTTTCTGACTCACTCTTCATGTATCCACGAGTGGGTGATAAAGGACTACCTATACTCATGGGACTATGTAGAGGGCTAAGACTTAAAGCCTGAGGACTGTGTGCGTTAGAGCTATCCTTTGGTGAGCCTATTGGACTATTGTGAGACTGATGCGTTTGATTTTTCGCATTTAAGAGAATCTGTTGGGTTGTGGATGGCTGCATTGTCTGCAAAATATCAATATGAATTATTGATCTCAAACAAATTGGCAATTTTATGTTATAAATTGATTTTTCTCTAATACCTGTTGCTGTGGTTGAGTCTGTTGTATACTAGAAGTTTGTATTGTTTGTACAGTCACTGGGGTCGTGATATGTTGAGTTGTCGTTACTTGCGTTACTTCTATTGAAGTGAAGATATTAATCAATTATAGATATCAATGAAGATAAGAATCATTACTTCAAATATTTTTCTTATTAATGTAAGAGAGATTTAATTAAATTTAATATCGTAAAGATATGTTGCATAAATCGTAATAGTTATATTCAATTGATCTCATAAGACTTTTACATTTTTCATATAAGAAAAAATAGAATTGCAATAAAAATACGTACTACTATTCGTAAGTAAGCGTGCAAGCAAAACATTGTTATTCAGATTCAGAGCTGGGTCGCTCACTGCAGATACTAGCGGCGGTGGATGTATTCTAGGCGCCGTTAAAGAAGAGCTACTTCGGGATCTATTCCTCCCTTTCATTTGATACTAAAAAAATATTATAATTTTATTGAAAATATTTTAACTGATACTTGAATATTAGCACTATTTAACAAAATTTAACATTTTTTTTTAGACTATTAAAGTAAATTGTCAGTCGATTCTGTATATCGACACGAGTAAGATATTGACCTTAGGTACAGCGAAGATCTCTTCTTTCTCTACGTTGGACGTCGTCGGTTGAGGTAACAGCTTGGTATGCAAAGTGGACGTAGTAAGATCCAAACTGGATGACCTACACTGTAGCAATATCTGTGATTGCGATGGTTGCTCCGACGATACTACTTGTTGCGTATGATGCGTCTGAAAAATAAACACAACATGCATTATTTTCATATATTCAATATATGAAAACGCTATTATATTTTAGTTACCTTAAGTAAGCTATTAGTATTAAATTTACACTGTTGAGCATTAAGATTCTGTACGAGATTTGGAAACTTATAACACTGCTGCTGCGGCTGGACGATCTTGTAAGGTTTGCTAGACATCGGCGAGAGAGTCGGTAAAGGCCTTATTGCTTGATGCTGGGTCTGCAGTTGCGAATTGACGGCTTGCGTGGCAAAATTATGCTGTACCGTCACCAGATTTTGCACAGCAGCGGCGGTAATTGCAGGTATATGACTGGCATTAACTGCTGATTGATCATTCAGTGTAGAGATCTGCACAGATTGTGGCTGCACCGGTGTTAATCGCACCGCTTGAATCTCCATCGCGTAAGACTGCGGGGGTTGCGATTGGAAGCCCGAATTCTGCTGCTGCGCGGTCGCTTGATATATATCCTGTTGCTGCTGTTGTTGGGATTGCTGTATCACCCGGCCGTTTCTTGACAATCCTCTGCTACCTCTAGTCTTTTCTCGTATGGATTGATTTGTCGTAACGGACGCCTCGAAGTTCGGTTGAAGAGCATAATTTTGACTCATAGTTCTAAATGGAAAAGAGTGATATATCCATGAATTGTAATTAAACTCGGACTTCACTCTTTATCCGTTTATCGTTTCGAAGTAATCGTTTCGTAATACTCACATATTATTCCTATACATATTCGCTGTTTCAGGTTGAGGCTGAGTATATATCTTGGCGGTGTATTGGAGATTCTGCATGTTAGCCTCTTGCTCTTCCTGAGACAGTTGTTGCACGGTATGTTCGTTTTTTATCGTCGGAACCTCGCCTATTTCATTCATTTGATTAATTGGTGTCATCAGGTCCAAATCGGGATAATTAGTATTTAGATTATTATTTCGAAATATATCGTCTTCTTCGGGTACGGGAGGCAATTTCGAGTTTAAGAATTCTTAAATAAGAAAACATGTAACATGTAAGAAACGTCATGCAAAACACAATCTTATACATCTCTTAATATTATTATCGTATACCTTGCAATGGCTCTAACGTATCCATAAAATCGTCCAGGTTCGGTTGCAACGGGCCTAGACTAGGTTGAATGAAATCCGCTAAGTTAGCACCTCGCGCTGTTGAATCATATTTCGTGTATTATAATATTTGTAATATTTCTATAAATAGTACAGTTTTGTTTTTACAATTGTCGAATAGTGTAAGTTTTCCAAAAAAATATAATCATCAAGAATACATCAAGAATACAAGCGGATATAACGTCTCAAAAAGAATTACCGATTTCTCTAGGATCAGGAAAGTATATCGGTTGATTCGAGCTGATGGTTGAAAAAAGTGTATCGGTCATCAACTCCATATAGTCTTCATCAACCATCATACTCTCTCCACCTGAAGCACTGCCTGTATTTCCAAATGCATTTCCCGTAGCCACTCCAAAGTCACTGGTGAGGCCACATTCACTGCCCCAATCCAGTAAGTCCATTGATTCCATCTGAAAGAAATACCTTATCATATTTGTGTTTCATATCTAATGAAAATAAGAAAAATCTGTCTATTCAAGCAAACAATAATAAAAAGACATCGATATCTAAATTTATTAATTATCTGTCATCTACTGTTTGTATTATTTTGTATTTTTTAAGGTGGCGGAGATATTTTTCAAGCATCTTAATATCTTCAAGCATCTGTATATCTTTTTGTAAATATATACGTACCATCTCTATGCCATCTTTGTTCGTCCAGCCAAGGATTTTGTTTCGATAGAACATACGCCATTTTTTGTATTCCGCTGTGACGGCCGCGAGCTTTCGTTTCCAGTATTTTCCTTCTAAGACCACCGCCTGATAAGAGATATGCCAATGATTCACGTTCACTAAGCGCAATTCTTATTAGGAAACGTAAAAACATTTTACGACTTTATAAGTAAGCTTACTCGGATTTTCTTATTACTTTGAGTACGCGCATGCAATCTGCTAGCAATACTTCGAGGAATTATAAACTCCTATGAATTATCTAATCAAACGATTCTGTCGCCAATTGCGATAAAGATACTTCCCAATTGCGTAATTGGGCAAAATCAAATAGTACATGTACACAACGAATCATTGCTATTTAATCATCATTAATATCGACGTTTGATTTCTGATTTATTGATATCAAGATCGAATGGTTATTAAAGGAAATTATAACAATTGATTCACTAGTCGATTATTTTATGTACAGAGCTTATTAAATGTATGTTTTATATAGATCAATAATGAATATATTATTATCGAAAATTTAAGTTAAATGTGGGGATCATACCTCGGGTTTATTGTGAGTATCCACGTCAAGTGGCGATGCAAACTGACACACTAGCGTGTTTTGCTTCAATATAACTAAAAAAGAAAAATTATTATTTATTAAAAATTTTAACTGATATTTTCAGTCTATTAAATTTTTTTGAGAAAACTGCCACAAAAATTGTAAATATTTAAACAAAAAAAACTTCAAGTTCTTCAAAAGATAGGTATATTAAGATAATTACAGATATGACCTCGAATATAATTCGAAGGTCTACATTTCCGCAAATTTGGTGATTAGGTAATAAACAGAGTGCATTTATTTCAATTAATTAACTTTACGTTTACTTTACGATTATCAACATGCTGCATGATAAGTTGCAAAAGTTAGAAAAAAGAATCGATTAAAAAAACCGTATAGTCGATTTAATTAAAATTTAAATAATTACGAGAAGCGCACCAAAATACAATTCGATTTTACTCTCTTATTTCTAGATAAATTTTCTATTTGAATTATTTATATATAGATTATTGATATGGTTTTAATAATTGTGTAATGACAAAAAAAAACGAATAATATGTCATTATTTTTTTCTCAATGTTATAAATTATTTTCTCTTATCGTTTCGGCTTGGTATTTCGTGTTCGAACAAATTGGGCTAATAGAACAAAACAATTATGTATATACATATATGTAAAATACGAGCCTCCTTGGCTCGTAATGATAAGTTGCGCCAGGTGAGTACTATTGATACGAATGTAGCACGCAGAGATGAAGCTCTTTAAATAGACGAGTAATTACTTATCCGGCCGTTCAATGAATAGCAAGACAGCCGATAGCTGTCTGAACTTGATAAGCAGCACTCTGCGTATATCACGATAATCGAAGTATCAATGAAATAAAGCAGGGTTGAAATTGAAGTATTTTCAAAAAGAAAACACAAGAAATGATCAGTCTGAAATTCGTGTAAAATTCGCTTTAAATATAAAAAATTTACTGATATATGTTTATAATTTTTAACATCAATTTTACATACTGCATTTAAAATGGATTTTACGAATTATATTGATTATATAAATTTTTCATTCTTGTATTGGATACTTCAATGGAAAAGTACAATATTTAAGCACAGAAACACTTTTGGAAACTACTATGATTTCATTTAGTATATCGAGTGTTTTGATTAATAAACGCGAAGACAGATTAAGATCGAGTTTGTGAACTCGTGACGATGCGTTGGGAGATAACAAAATAAATCTGAAGCTTATCAATTGTGTTATTCCCCATTTTTTCAGTAAAACAAAGATAGATTTACGTAATAATAAATTAAATTTAAATCAGAAAATATTCTAGAGAGTTCCTATTTTTATATTTAAAATGTATCGGTTGACAGAAGATGCTAAGTGTTTTTTTTTCTCGCTTACATTGCATATGCCAGCATCTCCAGATTACATTGTTCAGTCTGATCTTGTCCTTCCATCTTAATCTGATGCCTTTGAAGCGATTCCACTTAGGCGATGTCAGCTTCTGTCTGGAACAAATCCAAATGCCCATACGTCATACCCACTGTGGTAATCAAACTCGAATTCTATATAATCAATATGTTATCAATATATATCGTGTGAAGCTTATTACTATATTAATTCATATTAATTTTTTTGCGATGATATAAAATATAATAAACAAATCACCCAAAGATCGGTATTTCACGAGATTATTTTCTGTATAAAGTGTTATTGAAATACTTGGATGAACTTCATTTCAATTTTTTTATTTAGAGTTCAGGATTATTTTCAGGATAAAATTCCATTTTTTAAAAATATTTTTTAAATTTTCCACATCAAATATCGTGATGTAAATTCATTTGTAAACTGAAATTCAGTCAAAATAAACATCACTCAAAATTGAACGCAGAATAAGATTTTCTTGGAATTTTGATATTTTTACTAGAAAAGATAAAGTTCAAAATGAAATGAAGAATATGCCTAAAGAATTTATATAAACATAAATATCCTATGTACAGTTCATAAACAATCTAATAGTTTATAATACAATAATGTTTATTTTTTTTAAAGATGTGTTTACAAAAATGCTTACTTTATTTTAAATTCAATAACATCTATTTTGCACGAGATATGCATAATCTACGCATGTACAAAAAAATATTTTCTATATGTTTTTAATAAAAAAAGAAAAAAATACAAGTGACTAAACTAACAATAAAATTAATGTATCAATATCCTGTACCGGTAATGCCCCTCGGAATATAATTCATTCAACGAAACACATGTTAATTTAGACTGCTGCCTCTTCAAAACATTTCAATCAGGCGGATACATCGCAGTGACTTTAAGACGCAACCAATAATTTTGACTCGTTAGTAGGCGAGTGTTTGTGATTTCGACAAGCTTATCTCTCTCTATCGCAAAGTCTCTATCGCGGGGAACACCGTATGCTTTATGCGAGCTTTCCAAGGCGCAGTTAGAACGATTAGTGAACTTCCACACGAGAATTTAAGAAACGACATGAACTTGCAAACATACATATTTCTTTCTGGCATTTGTGATTTAACATAAATTAAAAACATACTTAAAGATCCTCTTTAGTGCCAATGAAATATTCGATCACATTTTTATCGTAATGTTATTACTGTTATTGCTATCGTTAATTTTTTTTCTAATCCTTACAGAAATTTGGCTAGAGTTTATTATTAAAAAAATAATAATTAATTACTTGGAGTATTAAAAGTATTAAACAATAATGTTTTTAATACTTAAAATAAATAATTAATTACTGTTTTTCAGTAATGGCCAAAAATATAAAATTTCTATAAGGAAACATAATCCAGTCTAGTTTCTTTGTGAAATTATTCTGTAAGTTTGATCGCTTACGTTCAAACATTTTAATTAATGCACAGTATATCAGAAATAAATGTATAATACGAAATCAATTACTGTATCATCATAATATGAAATAATTATAAGTGTGTTTAAACGTCCTTTCTATCGATAAGACAAATTTTTACAATAGGAATACTTCAAATAAATTCATCATTGAACTTTATAGGAATTTTATAGGAAGAAGCTACATATCTATTTTTTTTAATTTAAAAATTGCAATCGCAAAATTTTGTGGCGAGCTTTCGTTATCATCGTATTCGTCGATATATCGCAGACGAAGTGTCAACAAAATATCTATAGTCGGAAGATTTCCACTTGCTCATATCTGTGCGATGAACACATAGTGAGGGTTCTTCTCCTTGGCATTAGACCCTGGTCGGCCAAGTTCTTTCCGAGTTATTGCTATTTTGATTTTTATAATTTTTTAAGAGATTAGATAAGACAGAGCTCGAAAAATGTGGCAGAGAAAAAAAATAATTGTAAAAAATTCAATGTCGTTTGCACCCGAAATTCTTACGAGATAATTTTAAATAGAAGATTGATAAATAAAAAAAAATAATTACAAGAAATTATCATCAAAGTATGTGCCGGATTAATTAAACACGTGGAATTAATTAAAATAAAAAAAGGGCACTTACTACAAAGAATATCTTGAGAGTATTCGGGGAGACACTATTAGAGATATTTGTGTTATTCTTTACTCTTTATTGTTCATTGAACGTAAAACAAGATAGATAAAATGATACAAATGTGCTAATAACATCTTCTTGTATGCACTTTTGTAAATATATATGTTTATTTATTTGTACAGTAACAACTTTAGTAAGGTAAAATTTGTTTTTGCAAAAAAGCAAATATTAGAAAAAGTTATTTACAAGGAATAAAATATGTAATTACGCGCAAGTAGATACGCTGTATGAGTGATTCATTAACTTCTTCACACATTATTATACGTGTAACAAAAGTCCAGAGCTAAACGATATCAATGTATTTGTACTAGTGATAAATATATATATAATTATAAAAGTATTTTTAACTTTTTTGCTCATCTTATCATTAATTATTCTTTACATATGATTATTGCGATGGTTACATTATTGATAACAAAGTTGCAATATTGCATTATATCAATCTCAAAAATAAACAAAGATTAAGGCGAGAGCTTTTTTGTATATATTAATTTGAAAATTCCGGGATTTTTTTAAACAGAAAGAAAAAAAAAGGAAAAAAAAGGAAAGAAAGAAAATTATTGCTTTAATGAGACAGATTAAAACATACGTTTGTATAAATAAATATTATTATTACTTACTAATTATTACTATTTAATATATATATATATATATATGTTCTGTAACATTTTTACGATTAAACATTTACAATTGTGTAAATTGTTTAATTGTATTAATAAAAATTTGTTTTTTTATGCTTTAATTAGTTCTGTTTGCTTAAAAATATGCGCGTCATCGTCTTTATTTGCGAATTCCGTCATTTTCGCAACATTAATGATACATATGTAGCGCTACAGAATCTCATTATCAGATAATGAGTTATTTGCTCATTGCATGATATGCCGTTTCGGTTGAGATCAACCATCGCCTAGCAGAATTGCGATTATTATCGTATTGTCGAGAAACTCAATGGTGTGACAAAACAGATATCGCGTCGCGTTTGTAGAAAGATTTCTGAAAAAATACTGACGATAAATTATAAAGTGCTACACACGACCTGAACAAAAGAAATACCAAGTCACTTGCTTTGATAAGCGCGAATCCCTCGATACCGTTTTTATTTTCAGCATTTCGCGGCTTTAATTATCTGAATTATAAGAAGAGAGCAAAGATCGTGCCGTGGAAACTAAATTCGTCTGTCTTTAATCCCTCGTTAAACAGTCCATCTCGAAAACAATGAATTTTTTTTTTGGAGAAATTAATTTCTGAATTTTATGATTTTATACTTATAATTATAATTATAAAATTACTGGATTAAAATTCATTCAATAATAATAATTCTTCAAGGAAAAATTACATGAAGGACTTTTATAAAGGAAAGAAGATTCTGAGAATTTATAGATTCGAAAATAATCTCTTAAAATTCTTTCGGGATTAGTGTCAAGATAAAAAATGTCCTCGTTCTACAATTGTGTAAGCGTAGTTGTACGTGATTGTAGTTAGTAAGAATTGATCAATCACAATCAAATATGAAGAGAATATTCGATTGTGCAGGTTGATCAATTCTTACGATTACAACCTTTTATACGCTTACGCAATTGTAAAATGGTTGCTAAAGAATGATATAAATTTGGATAGATTATTGCGCAAAGGCCTTTTCAAATAACAATTGAATGATAAATATCTTTCTTCATGTAATGCATTGATTAATGGATTGATTGTAAAAATATACGGTGAGTCAAACAGGGAAATAGAAATAGCCCAACCACTAGTTGGATAGGTGGACGAGCCTCCACGGAGCACTTCCAACTCGTTTTCTCGATCTTGCCTTGCTTGTTGCTTGATCGTCGTGCGGAAGTTACATTGCTGGCGCGTACACACGGTACGCACTACGAACGTGTGCTTACGATGACGCAGTGGCCTTGGTCGATAAAAGACACACGGAGAAGAGGAAGTTTTTAGATAATCTAGGCCTAAACACAATTCACATTTTCGCGAATCGGATCAAGATCCGACGATCGAGATCAAGTTCAATCTTTTTAAAAGACCTTATATCGAAATGTTAACTGGAAGTTTGCTCAATGTTGGCTGAAAGGCAAGGGTCGATATTCATAATTCGTTCTTATGTCACGAACCAATCAGCTGTATTAGCATCTTAAGTTAAGACATTGCTTAAGCCAGTCTTAAAATAAGAATGGATTATGAATATACAGACACAAATTTTTAAGATGCTAATTTTTAAGATGCTATTTTCTGATTAGATCACAATATTTTAAGACTGTACTTAAGACAGTCTTAAATATAATATAAAAATCGAAGATAAATATCGATCAAGATCTCGTTAGCCATTGACATTACTTCATCTTTATCTCAAAAAGTCTAATCTTGGAGATTGTTTGACCTAGAAACCGTTGATGCATTGATTTTCAAGCAACTGTCATCATTTTTAATACGAGCTGCGCTAATTATGCAGAGATGTAGCGGACGTGAGATACGCTGACGTAAGGCATAAAGTGATAGTGTGCAAAGAAAGCAACTTTCTTATGATATATGCAGACAGTACTTGTGTAAGGAAACGTCTATGGTCATTGTGATATAGAATGAAAATTAGTAATTAAAATTCATATTTTCTATACTAAAAAAGATTTTAAAAAATCTAAAAAAATATTGTAATGTAAAATAAATTGTATTGCCTCAGAAATTACTCCATACTATTTTTTCTTTTATGATTGTTTTATCAAAGTATGGACAAATTTCTTGCTTAAACGAACACACTTATTTGATAAAATAAATATCTTTCGTCGATAACGCTCGTAAATCATTATGTCGAAAGATGTAGAAAAAATTGAGGAAAAAATAGATTTTACCTTTCGCAATTCGATAGCTCCGTGCAGGCTTTTGCCGAGCATAGATGCTCTTATTTCGCTTTATTACTATGAATAATTTTATAATTCAACGATATCTGCATTATGCAACGTGAGATGCAAGAATGGACGTTAATGCGTATACTCTGTCGATCTCATAAGTTGGATTAACGACGTAAATACGGAAATCCAATCCATTCATATTTTCGAGTGTAGTGTGATGTCGCGATAGGAAATGTAATCGATTAATTCTGGTTTGTTAACATAATCATTTATTCTATATCAAGAATATAAATGAGAAAATAAGTAAAAATAAGTAAATAAATAAAAATAAAAATATAATAAGTAAATAAGTAAAAATAAAAATAAATAAACAATATAAAGAGCTATGAAAATTTTTTACAAAAAGTTCAGAGAGCGTATAAATGTCCATTTTCTTTATATTAAAAGCTTGATTTATATAAAATTTTCATCTAATAATTTTTGTATAATTTTTTAATAAATTTTTATTTTTAGATATAATATATTATAATTTCAATATTTCAATATAACATTTTGATATACTCTAAATTCTGCAGTAAAATTTTTCATTGCAAACTTAATAAATATGTTAGCGATTAGTATAATCCTATGGTATAAATTAATCTAACAACTTGAGTTTCATAATTCATAAAGATGAATAAATATAAATCTGCGATCAAGTGATAAAATGCTGCATCATGATTATTACTTTGCTAAGATTTTCTGCTTCTATTGATGATCTGGGATTGCTGACGTAAAACATGAACATCAGTTTGCGTTTATTGTATCGCAAATATGAATATAATTTTCATGATAGTTAATTATACATGAATATGCGAAAATTACCTGAGAATATGCATAATATGCACAAATATAGTTTTGTCATTGCAATAAAACTTCACTCTGTTTCTCTCTCTCTCTCTCTCTTTCTCTCTCTCTCTCTCTCTCTCTCTCTCCAATTATATCGATATCAATTTATCGTAATTCATTTTAATTCATCATACGGCTTTTAAACTTTTAACGTCAAGCATGTAAAATTCGGTCGATATTAAGCGATAATTAAGAAAAGTATCGAATTTACGTACCGAATTAAATTCACACGGCAAGATGTTTGCGAAAAGATATTACTTGAAAAGCAATCAATAGCACTGTAAACCGATGTCATTATATTGTAAGGAGAAAAACACTTAGTGCACTTGGAAACTGTTCTAAATCACTTTTCTAATTTCGTCTAACTTTATTGTGAGTTTCGTATCAAAATAATAACATCATTTCAAGAAGAATTCCAACAGATACGTTTCAATCGATAGCTATTACTGTGCAAACTGATCCTTAATCGCTTCATTTATTCTGTTTTCCGTAATACTGCGCCCAGTTTAACAAGTCTCGATTAGATCAACATCTAGTTATTCAAATCTATGTGCGCATAAGAGTCTGCGCTAGGAAACTATTTATATTTGAACAAAGCATTTTTAATATATAAAAGAGTCTTCTGCTATCATTTCGCTTAAGTTTACTGTTTAATTTTCAAAATGTAATTGAAAAAAATAAAGCAGATTCATTCATACGATAAAAGATAATTAATAAAATTTATTTTTATAAATATAATTTTCAGCTTAAGAATTAATAAATATAACATTTGTTTAAATGCAACACTTGAAAATTCAAAGTTAAACATTTTTGCTATAAAACAGCGTTTTTTTTTTATTAATTTTGCTTCTAATTTGCTTCCCTAAAGCAATAATATAAAAGGAACACTTTTTTTTGGTTCGAAACTTGTAATATTTTTACAACTCGTGTTATTTTTATCGCTGTTTACATTGTATCCCTGTCATATCAAATTGTGTTTGTATTGCATTTATTAAAAGGAAGAATACAATTCTTTTAAGACCTTATCAACGATAACGGAACGAGATCGATCAATCGAGGTGCGGCGCATCTTTCAGGGTCATCAAAGATATAATTAATTTGGCCTCTTGTTTGTCAGAGCATCAAAGACAACAGCCGATATGATGTAGCGCCGTATCCATATCGACGCTGAATTTACCGGGAAATTAATTGAAATTACATTGTATTGAATACTAGCAATATATTGCCCGAATTGTATTGTTGATGTTATTTTCAAATTATGTTTATTGCCTCGCAATTCTATCTTGTGGTTTCATATTACGTCAAACGGTACTAAATACAATAACATAATATAATAAAATAATTTTATGTCACATAAAGAAAACGTGGAAATTATTATCTTAAATTATATGTTTCAAAATATAATACGCGTATTTTTTTTTATAATTCTATAAAAAAATTTATAGAAATATACAACACATATAATAAAATATATATGTGTATAAATAAAACGTACTGCACAGCTAATAAAAAAGATAGAACAATATTCTACTTATAAATTTCATATGACGTAAAATTCTATTAGGTGTTGGAATTAATTCGTAGCGTTTTTTAATGAAAGAATGTTATTTATTTCACATGAGCATTAAAAAATACATTAATGAAAGTACTTCCCATCACTTGTAAAACGCTACGAATTAATTCCAACACCTAATATTTTTCGTATTATTTGCTAATAACTCATAAACAAGCTGACAAATTTGTTAAAAATCATACTTGATAAATATTATGTTAAAAGATTATATAAATTGCGGTTTTAATTTGATTGCGAATGAACTCAATTGAATTTCTTTGAGGTTATCAAAAACTGCCGCGGTTACAAATGTGACTAAGCAATGTTAAAATTGCACGTGTGACAACAATAGCTTGCAAGCGTACAACAATGAATCAGTTGTAACGTCACCGAATACATCGGCACATAAGAAACTTGACTGATTTATTTGGAATGTTTCAACACCATCACAAAATTTATTTCTCATGATATTAATTATTTTCTGTACATTTTTTAGATAATCTTATAGCGCGATTTTATTATTTTGTTACAATTTCAATAAACTTCTATAAATTCTCATATTGTCAACATCTTAATTTTTAATTAAATTAAATTAGCATTCTTATAAATATTTTTTTTTAATTATCCTTATAATTACTTTTTTTTATACTTTACTGTCCCATTTATTATATTAATAATATAATTAATATTAACAATAAAACAAAAATAATCGTATAAAATATTTATGAAAACAAAAGAGCTTATAATAAATCTAAGAAATGGAAGGAAGAAAATTGAAAGCTCCACTTTTTTCTATCGGGTTTCATAAACCTGTTAATTGAACGTTAATTGAATTTTTGTTTCTACTTAATTTGATTTCTAAAATAAGCTAAATGTCAGCGGGATCACAATTAAATCTTTTGACTAAAGTGTTTATATACGACAATGGGAAATAATCGCGGCGTGATGTCGTCGGGAGGGAAACGGAAATTGTCGGTAGAAGCCGTGTGTTCGTCGTTATTCGCGCGCAACTTTAGCGAGGCCGCACTTAATTGCGGTGTTGTTTGGTTCTACGGCCTCTCTTTCATTAATTCAATTGTCTTTTATCAGCGGGAATGCTACCGGCCAGCCCAGACCGAACAGCATTTGTTCGATTGCCGAGCGAGATGCGATTTTTTACTTTTTCAGAATAAGAACGCTTCTCTTCCTACGGTATGCATTGTATCACAGATATAAGACCTATTGGTTTTATCTTTTCTTTACGCTATTTATGTCAAAAAGAGACAGACATTTCACAAGAAAAAAAAGAAAACAAAATAAATCTGTAATCTTTAGCATATATATAGGTTTTATCGTAATTTAATCTTGCGATGTAATCGAATTAATAATAATTATCCACTCGAACATGCCTTCTAAAAGAACATCGTCCTCTTGTTTTTTTAATCTCGTATAATTGTGCTGCTGACAAGACTTTTAAGATATTATGTCTCTTATTTCAAAAACAAATGATCATCAGCTCAATTTTAATTCTTTCATTATATTATTTGAAATTCGTAATATTATATATGATTATTTTAAATATATTAGATTTTCATCGCAATGCTATTAATAAAAAGATCAAAATTTTGAATAGAAAAGAATTAAATTCTTAATTTAATATAAAACATAATTAACGTGATTGTACTTCTAATTTTTACGTACATTTAACATACAAAATTATTAATAGATAGTATAATGTTGCTCATATAAAACTAAAAAAATGTGTTTCAACAGTTTTCTTAAAAAATTATTATCTATAAATAAATTGTATCGACATAAAATCTAACATACAGAGTATCTCACAGCCACCGTACAATTTTAATAGTATATTCTAGAGGTAGAGTAAAAAAAAATCTAATACAAAAAAGTGTCGTAGTCATAATAGTTTTGAATTATAACGTGATCAAAGATAACCAGTTATTACGCAGAATTCACGCAGAAGCCCATAATTATACAAACACGCGTTTCTAAAAGATAACAGACCGATACTCATGTTGTATAACGAATCTCATCGTTCTAATTCTACACGATATTATTATCTTTGATCAGTTATAATTCAAAAATTATTGTGATATCTCGTTAAAATTTTTACTCTACTTTACCCCCCTTCCTTTCCAGAGCATTATTATTAAAATATTAAGAATTAAATTCTGAATTTATAAAACATAGTTCATGTGTTTGTGTACTTATAAAATTATAAGACATTCTGCAGTAGGATATTATTTAAAAAATTTTTTCTCTTGAAGAAATAAATACGAAGTCAAGGATTAAATTCTCACTTTTTAAATCTTAGTTCAGCTAACTCTTCACATTTTTTAGTTCTAAAGGTTAGAAAAAGATGAAGAGTAAGTGAATCAAGATTAAAAATTAATCTACATTGATAGAAACGGCCTTTATTCAACCCACAGATCTCAGAAATCGCCGGAGAAAAGGAGGAACTCACCTGTAGGCGAGGGACATGCATTTGAAGAGTTTGTTCAAGGACGTCTCGATGCTCAGCTGCTGAGAGGTGTTCTTGTCGTTCAATGAACTCGCGAATCTCTCGTAAAAGCAACCCGGCGTGGTGGAGATCGAGAACTCCTCCTGGTCCGGCACCGGTACGGCGAGCTCGTCTTCATCGTCCTGTGCTTCGGCCTCGAAGTCCGACACCATAAAGTGGCCCGAGTGTATCGTCTCCCGCGAATCCCGTCCGCCATTCTTCTCCCGTTTGTTATCATTGCCGGTATGATGAAAACCGCCCTGGCTCGTCATCGCCGATGGTTTTCGATACATCAATTCCGCCTGCATCTCGGCACCACTGATTCTCTGCGGACACGAACGATCCCTTCGATATGCCAATTTCACCACGAGTCTACCTTACAAATCTGTCCTTGATAGTTTTTGATAATAATTGTCTATCAAATAATTTAAGTCACATTATATAAAAAATACCTTATAACTGCATGATGACAACAAAAATATTAATTAAAAATAGATAAAATATAAAATATTAATTAAAAACTTAAAATATCTTGATACAAACTTTTCATAATAATTCATTGTAATGAAGATATAAATTAACCCTTACCGTACAAGCTACAATTTGGTGCCTCATCTATACAAATCATCCATACACGGGTCCCTAGAATCCGTTCGTTTTTCACCTATTCAGAATGATTAAAAAAATCTCTAAAAATTCACTAACATACTTTCAACTTTCTAGAATAAATATTGAAACTTTATTTTGGAAAATAATAAAATGTAGTATAATTTATAATTACCGAAAGACTCATAAGTTGGGAAAAATGGCATTTGATTTAAAAAATTATAACTTTTCATAAAAAAATGATTTCAGGATTTTGCAGTAGTTTAGATATGAAGTTTTGAAAAAAAAAAATACTAAAACTTCGAATTCTACAAAAAGTTGAATTATTGGAATATGAATATGAGTTTTTAACAAAAGACAAATAGGAAAAATCGAGTTAAAATATGCATTTTTAAAAATTTTTGTTGTTAAATAATTTTTAATGAAAAAAAATAAATAAATAAATAAAATATAAACACATTTAGATAAATATGTAAAGAAAGACATAAAATTCAACTCCTCTTCAGCTCCATTTTGTTTAAAAAATAAATAATTTTTTTGGAAAAAAATTTTTTAAATGAAAACAAACATTCAGACATTAATTTAGAGTGAAAATAGAGTAGTTATAATGATTTTGACACAATTTTAGTTTTCACAAAAAGCACCCTTTGTATACTTACGAGGGGGTCACTAGCGTCTCACGTCAACTTGAACTGCACGCCAATCATAAGCAGATTGACGGTCGGGATCGCGCACAGGGAGATCTTCCCCATCATAAACTTTTTTTTACAGGAAGGTAACAAGCGCCGAATTCATCGAGCTTGCGAGAAACTTGCACGAAGGAATCGCTCGATCACTAGTGACCCCCATTTGTAGAGTAAGAGACAAGGATTAAATTAAAAATCAATTAAATATAATACAACAATTACAACTCATAACATTTCAATATAAAATTTTTTTCTGATCTGAATGAATAACTGAGAGAGAGAGAGAGAGAAAGATAAAAGAATAAAGAAATATGTTTTGTAATATGGTAAAATAAAATTAAGTAGATTCACTGATTAATTAGATGATTATAAATTTTTTATAGTTCATTAATATTGTAAATGACAGATTATAGCAACACAGATTTAAAAATCTCAATTAAAGAATTTCGCTCTATTTGTTTTGTAGTTTAAAATGGGATCGTCGAAGTAGTATGTAATAGGATTAGACGACCTCATTTCAAGAAATTGCACACAGCGAAGTCTGGATGATAGAAGAAAGGCTTGACAGACACAACAAGTTCCAGTTATCGAGCCCCTGATAAATTCAACTCGACGCATCCCTTTTTTCTAAATATATCATATTCGAGTACTACAAGAGGAGAGAGAGAGAGAGAGAGAGAGAGAGAGAGAGAGAGAGAGAGAGAGAGTGTGTGTGTGTGCGTGTGTGTGTGTGTCAAAGCATAATCTATAAAAATTCTATACGACTTATGTCCACTTCTAATAGATTAACTTTAATCTTGACTCTTTCATTTTTTATTCTTTTCTAATTCTAATTAGAATTAGCAAAAAATAAAAAGAGTAAATTAAATCAAGATTAAAGTTAGTCTATATTGAAATGGACATTAAACTCGTTATATCAATATTATAGAATCGATAACACGAGTCTAGATATTTTCATAGATGAGTGATATACATACAACAAGCATATTGTGATAATAACTACGCAACGAGATTTAAACATTTTTAATCCGATTTACAGAATGGAAAAGTCACTATGGCGTTAAAACAAGTATTATTTTGAGGCAAAGAATATAATAAAATAATAAATTATAACAAATCTTACTAAAAAAAAGTTATAGTATAAAAGTTTAAAAATAAATCTCCGTTCAATAATTTGTTAAATATCACATGCATTATAATTTATCATTTTTTGGAATAACTATATATTTATAATTGTTTAACTATGCAAATATAGTACATTGCGTTATTAATAATAATCACATATTTGCTTGAAAATCTTTAGTTTTATCTTAACATATTTTTTAGTTATTATTACTAAATAAATAGAAAGTGAATAATAAATAAATAGAAATTTAAGAAAATAGTTATGTTAATTATATAATTGCAATTGCATTTACTGAGTAAAAATATTAATTTTTTTATTTACCATTTTTTATTTATCTTGATATTTTACTACATGAATATTTATTTTTTTAACATTGTAGCGCAGTAATAATAATAATAATCATAAAAATGAGGCTCCTAATCATAATTGTTTTATTATGCAATTATAGTCACAAAAACCAATATAAATATCAAACACTTTTTCTCGATGCAAATATAACAATAATTGAACAACGCACGATACACCTGCGATCGTATGATAAAATAAAAATCGTGCTAAGAAAAAAATTTTAATTTTTCTATAGCGATCTTATAGCCTCCGATAATCAGCTGTATCTATTAGTCTTTGGTTTAATTGTAAGGGACATGAGTGCCTCCAAATTGGCGCCAGGCTTCCTCGATACGCGTGATTAACAAGTTTATTTCGTGGTAGAACGTGGCGGGGAATGACCGGAACCCCCTCTGGTCAGTTGAATGACCATATCTCCGAAAACACACGGCCGGCCAGTGCCCGTCTTTTACAGACTAAACGTCGATTTCTATGAGCAGCCGTAAACACATGGAATTCACAATGGTCAGTGACTTCTCGGAGTTATATATAAAATTAAATGCGGCCGAGACAGTACATCGTGACGACGTATCCTATGTTCTATTGACGTTAATATAATCAAATATTAACCTAATCAACCTGGTCTAACAAACCTTCATGAAAGATTTAGTTGAGAAATTTTTATTTCTTACTTTATCTCTATTTACTTCACTTTTTAAATTTCATTATGTTCCAATAACTATGAATTAAAAAAAATTTTTTTTCTAAAATAGAATTTTTGTCTCCGATGATTTTTCACGACTAATGCGTTTCTATCAATGTAGATTTACTTTAATCTCGGTTCAATTTATTCTTCACCTTTTCTAATTTTTATATCCATTTCTACCAATGTAGAATAATTTTAATCTCGGTTAAACTTGCTCTTCATTTTTTTCTAATTCTTAGAACTAGAAAGAAGAATTTATTAAAATTAAAGTTAAGATAAAAATTAAGATTAAAATTAAACTATTGTACATTGGTAGGAACGATTATAAGCCCAGTTCCACCAATGTAAGATTAACTTTAATCTTGGTTTAATGTACTGTTTATCTTTATATTTTTTTAATTCCTAGAAAAAGATAAAGAATAAATTGAACCAAAATTAAAATTAGTCTTACATTGATGAACCTGAGTATAAATATATCGCGATGTTCTAATTTTCTAACATAATATATTTCAAGTAAATTATTTTTGAACCTATGTTACTGACTTGTGGTTATCAAATGTATTTAAATGCAAATATAGGACTAACAATAATAAGAAAGATGTTTTTGTAATATGTTCACGTGTTAACTGAATGGATGGGAAAACATGTTACTATTTATAGTCTAACAGAATTTGTAGAATTTCATATTTATTATAGCTTGAAGATAATTTCATATTCCCATGTCTAAAAATATGGATTACTTCAATTGACCTGTACATGAAACATTTATTTAAGATCACACCGTGTTTCTTATTATTAAGTTATTACGCGGCTGAATTAAAAAATATCTAATTTATATTTAAATATCTATAATAATTTGTATTATATAATTATAAATAATATCAATTTTAACACATTATGTCTAATATCAATATAAGATTCATATTAATGTGCAATAAAATCTCTGTTTCATTATCATTTTATATCATTTCGTTAATCATTAGGAAGATAAGTACTCAATTTACATACTAATAATGGCATCATATTTTAAAGGTACCATTGTTATTAATGTAATATTATTAATAGCATTGATTTGATGACTCCCAATTGCTTGCGAGATTCTGAGTAGGACTCTACATTTTGCAATAGAAAAAAACATTTCATACGTTAAATTGATTCTTGTTAAAATTTTTGTGTTGAATTTTTAACATATCGAGTATTATTTTAACATAATGTGATTTTTTTTATGTTATTTGAATATTTTATATTAAATTATTATTTTTTGTGTTAAAAGAATAATTTTTTAAAATTATATTAATTTAAAAAATTACTTTAAAAAATTTTTAAACAAAAAGGGCGGATCAAAGCTGAATCATACGAAATATGTTAAATTTAATACCAATATTTTAACAGTTTATCATATCTTGCTTTATCATATCTTTCTGTTTTATCATATATATATATAATGCTATAAACAGAACATGCTATGAATAGAAGGAACGAAAATTAGGAGAAATCGTATAACTTCGAGGACCAAATTGCGCTTCATTATGTGAATGATGAAACAAGAATTTTGAGCGAAGCAATTTAACTTATTAACGTGACCTATTAACACTGATTGCACAAAAATCGAGCATGTATTCGAGAATCGAGGCATCACCCGTTATAATCGGTTTCCCACGGATTCTTCCCGCTTGTTACTATTCAGCCGTTAAATTCTGAACGGTGTTTCAGCAGAAAATAATATCTTTCTATATAAGATATAGAATATTTAACTATATATAAGATTCTTTCAAATCGTATCACTATTATCGTACCACTCGATTGCAATTGATTACAATTGTCGTAAGTTCGAAACGCGTCAGGTCTTCTCGATTGCCTTTTTCCCTTTCAGCAATCTTACGCAAGTACTTGCGACAACTCACACGTCATTTTCCAGCGAGCGGATTCAGCGTTATGGCATTAGATGTCGAGAAATGTGAAGGTGTCTCAACGTTGCGAATCGTGCGCACAACTTGACACGTGGAAAACGATAATTTATGTACGTGGCACGTAAGACTATCCCATCGTACATCCGCATTTTATTTCAGTAACGTATCGCCAAAGTAATTTCGTCAATTGTTCGCTTTTTGTTAAAAATACCTGCAATGTTGAAAATATCATTGCTTGAATTATGTGATGAAACTCTTAAAAAAATTTTATTTTTAATATAAAACTTAAAACATTTTTCGAACTGCAGCTTTCGCAGCTAATTTAATTGATGATTGTTTTACAACAAGAATATTAATAGAAATTGTTATTTATTTAAATTTAATAATACATTTTTGTAAGAGAATTTGAAATTAAAATTATTAAAGGTTAAAAAAAAAGACCGTATAGTAAAATAAACGTCCAAATTTCTAAGTTCCAGTTTTTAATGTATCAACCAGTAAAATTAATTAGTGCATCATATTTCTTTGATTTCTTACATAAAGTGTTCTTATTTATTATATTAAATATATTAACCTCAGTTTAATTAATTGGCACACTGCAATTATTTGATTTCTTACATAAAGTATTATTTCTTAGTTTTCTTGAGCCAGTTTTGAACACTATTCCGTAACACGCCGGTACCTCTCGCTATCTATAAAGTATTATGCCCTTTGACCCTCTCGAGCCGGCTCTATCGCAGGGCGAAGTCAAATGTCTTATCCGTTCGCTCGTTGTGCAAGTGCGCGCGCCGCTTAGATTTCGGATCGTATAGATAAAAACGAGTATTTACAGCAAATATTGTGTAAGGCAGAGATTTCTGTCTCATACCACTTTTTCTGTCTTTTATGTACGCAAGAATATCTTGTTTAAAAATGATCACGTAAGCAACGAATACCGATTTCCAAGATCGTATGGAACAAAGTATGATTAAATTACAGTCAATGGAATTTACATAAAACACAATTTATAGCATTGATATATTGATACGTGTTAATAAAATTTTTGATTTACGATTTGATGACGACGTGTTTTTGGCATTTCTTCATCTAATCCAGCGAGAAGAACCAGCTATTTCTGACTCAGATCGAGCAGTGGAAAATCTCGTGGTTCTAACTTAAGTGTAAAATCCTATACTTTTCAGCGTAACAAAGATTTTAAAAATCATACATATTGTTAGTAGATTAATCAAATATTTAAATTGAGCTATGACTCATAGATATAATTAACAATGAAATCTGATTGATCAATGTAATAATTAAAGGCGTGCACACATGTGTGCATATTTATGTATATTATTATGTATATTTATCAAGCCAGATAATAAATAAGAAAGTAAATCAAATAAATAAATGAAATGAATAAATAATAATTTGATTTTGTAACTTTGCAATTGACAATCTATATCATATACATAAATCAAAGCTTTTTAATAAAATGATATCATTAAATTTTAATAAGAATCATCATTATCTGCCGTAAATTGCGCAATGTTAGAATAGATAGGTCCACAACTTTGTTTTAAAAAGCCTTAAATCATAAGTCGAAAGAGATTAAGTAACAATAATTTTTGTCTTTAAACTGTTTTTGCGCAGTCTTTAGGCTTTAATCGTTAGACTTAAGCAAATTGAGCAAAATCCAATTCTTACGGCCTAAAAGAATAAGTTCTGTGACTGATATATCGTCTCTTACAACTTACAGCTTACGGCTTATATGGCTTCTTAAAGCAAAGTTGTAGACTTGTAATTATTAATTATGTTATATATTAACTTATCTAATTGAATCTGAAATACGATTTATAACAAAGAATATAGGTTAAACTATATTCTTCCAAGATTAATTTAGATTATTACATAAAACTATGATATTATTTTTAACCCGTTTGTGTGATTTATTGCTAATATTACATCCATATTTTTCGTGTATTCGTATAATTTAAAAACAATTAAATTTATTTGAGATTGCTATTCTAATTATAATTGAATATAGAATTCTAAATTTTGCTTCGAAAGCATCACCTCCGTTTCTTAGTATAATTGAAAAACACGGTTTTTTATATATATTAACAGAGAATATAAGCTAAACCAAGATTAACTTGGATTACACTATTACATAAAACAATGCCATTATTTTTAACATGTATGTATTACTACATCTAAGTCTTTCTGATTTGTAGAATTTAAAAACAATTAAATTTATTATTTGAGATTGCCATCCCAATTGAACACAGAATTCTAAATTTTGCTTCGAAACATTCGGTAATACGTAAAAAAGCAATGCAAAAAGAAACGAAGACGTAGTATCTGGCAAAGATGTTTTTATTATTTACTCTGTTTTGATTCGCCGGAAGCACCAAACACGTCCCTAATGTTTCTGACATAATATTTACACGCCGAGCAAATAGGAGTAGCTCCTTTAGCAGCTCAGGAATTTCTACTTTTCATTGAGTTCTGACAATAAGGATTATCGGGGACATCGGGGACGATAATAACAGCGGTCGAACGAGTGCGTGTATTTACATGTTGCCTTCTTATGTCATTTCACGTCGGAGCAGGATAGACAAAAAATCGTGTACGGAAAAAAATGCTCACGTATGAAGAAGTGGCAGTGGTACACGTATCATAATTGTCAATAAGTAATTCTAAATGATTGATTCTGAGTCCTGAGATTTTGGATGAATAAAGAGTTGACGCATTGGTCAATTAGTGGAATTCTTCAATTCGTTAGTTCTTTTCTCGTGTGAGATCTTGGAGCGATTTCTAATCATCGTGGAGATAAGTTTTAGAGACAATATTTCAATCATATATTTTTTGTCTATGAATCATTTCATCGACTGGATGATGTTTAATTGTATAAAGACTAGATACAAAACAATTTTAAAAGCACCGATGATTAATATCTATTATTTGAATATATATATATATTTTTTCATAACAGTCTTATAATATATAACAGCCTTGGTTAAAAATAGGCATTTATATTTTTTTCATTAATTTGAAATTCTTTTATCTGTAATGTTTCCTGTTAGTTACCGATACTTAAGTTTAAAGGATTTTGGAAACAAAGAATAAAATTTACAGCAAATGCTATAAATCAATCTTTGAACTAAAATGTGAAATAAAATGATTAACAAGATACTTAATATTTTTTATCAAAGATGTATATATATATCTTCGAAAAAAAAGATGAAAGAGAAAAATAAATTTATCAATTTAATCACATCATAACGAAAAAATTGCAGAAAATCTCAAAAGCAATATATGCACCGCTAATATTTGACAAAAAAATTACAAAACGAGTCATTTCTCTCACTACTCCAGTAGTTCTGGTGTTAAATATAAAAGCGGACTATATATTGCTGAAATAGTTTATGTTAGGCGCAATGAAACATCCACCCATTTCAACAAGCCAAAAGCTCCACGTCCAAGAAAGAGGAGCGGAAAGGAGAAGGAAAACAAAGAATACGGCGTGTGTACCTAAACAAACGAGCGACCATGTACACACGACTTCTTTCTCGCTATGTAAATTTTTACATATTGTCGCCATCTCCTCTCTTGTCGTTTAGATTCTCTCTATCTCTCTTTTCCTCTCTATAGGATGAATTGTCCGACGTTCGTTCGGAATCGGTTGAGGCACATCACAATTCTCCTTATCGCGGTCGCGTCACTCCACTCTGCGCCACGATTTTATCGCGGCCTGGCCTCGCGTTTCATGGAAATCGCCCGCACGTTTCTATATAGTCGTTACTGCTGTTGCTACTGCTGCTGTTCGTTCATTCTCTCTTTCTCTCTTTCTCTCTCTCTCTCTCTCTCTCTCTCTCTTTCTTTCTTTTTCCGCCCACAGATCAAATAGCACAATTAAGCCTCCGCGTCTCCCGAGTTGTTATCATTCTCGTTTCGCATTCACGGTTGTCCCCTCGACGTCGACGATCAAGAAAAGGACGCGACCGTTCGACATCGTGCACCAGATGTTGGTCCAATCCGCGGGAATAATCCGCGTACGAATGTGCGACGTATGTGTGCGCGCGCGCGCGCGAGCAAGCGAACGCACTTTGCGATGAATTGCGCACAATGTGTATATGTATATATT